TTAATAAAAGAATGAAACTTAAAAACTCCCAAACCTCATGTCATATTTACTAATCAGCTATGGCTGATTTATTGTTTGGATCACAGTGAGTTACACTAATTCTAATATATTTTTATTTCTATTATACATACATACTTTTTAACTGTTATTTTCACATGACTGTTATCAGGCTCTTGTTCTGGTTCTGATGATAACTCTGTGTCTTCCAGTAAGTTATCTTGTGCTTACTTCATCTGTATAATGTCTCTTTACTTTTGGTAAATTGTACTGAGTCCAGAATAAAGGCTAGCTGGCTGTACAAGATACAAACAAGTATTACGTTTTGGAAATATATGAAACACCGCCAGCATCTGTTAGAGCCTGTGGCGGGGTGCTGAGGGCCGGCTCCAGCCCAGGAATGAGCTCTACACGCCGGCCGGGAGGGTTTGAAACACCGCCATCCTCTCCTCTGCTGGCTGTTCATTCTGTTATGGTTACCGGTGCTTGTGTTGCAATGTTAAACGCTTGGTCTCGGATTTTGTAAGAAAGATAATAAAATGTCCCCCCAAAATACGACTTAAATATATTTTCTCTTCTTCATGATACATTTAATGGCTGGTGCGACTCAGGAGTGATAGCGCCGAAAAAAACTGTACTGAAAACTTGCTCAAAGCAAAATGTATTCATTACGGAAATAAATTATAAACTTACCGATTTAAAACTTTTTTAATACAGGTACTTCTCACGAACAGGCGCAGAAAACCTCCACCTAAACTCCGTGTGAGGTTCAGGTCGATGGGTGTTCCAGTTAGCTCCGGTTGGGTTGAAGCTAGGTGGCTACATCCATTAGCTCGGCTCCCACCTCCGCTTTAGCTTTGGGTTAGCCAGGGTTAGCTTCAGGTTAGCTCGTAGCTAGTTCGCCTGGGTGTCGTCACTCGAGCCCAGCCTTACAGCCACACCCTCAGCGCCTCCTCTCTTCCCTTTTATGGAATTGTCTGGGCTGGACGGAACCTGTGACACGGTCAAAATGGCGGTGGTGGACACCTCCCATTATGGACAGATAACGTGTTATTGAAGCCTATGGAATCGAATTGTCCAGTATATGTACAGTCTATGGCCTTATGGCTTATTAAATAACATGTAATTTAAATCATTACAGCAGTGTGAAGCTGGTCAACATGATGAAGGACCTGCACCGGCTTCACCTTCTACACCCTCATATGGTGATCATCATGTCATCCATCACCCAAAGGTGTAGCTGGAGGGCAGGTGTAAAACCTACAAAAAGGCCAGGAGGTTTGTCAGCAGTGTTATGGCTACATTTAATTCTAGCTGAAATGGTGCAGTTGTTGTGCATCCTCACATCAAGACATGACAGTCCAGGGATGTATTTGTCAAAGTTCATTTCACAAATAGGGGAAATGATATACATATTTTTTTACTAATATTGCCGATTGTCTTAATGGCCAGCTCCAAAAGCAGTGAAAGGCTTCCAAGTGGGAGTCTCGCTGCTTTTGATTTTTGCCTTTAGTGTCATGGTCTGCGTCTCCCCTCGTGTGTCTCCTTGTGTTCTCCATCCCTCTCTAGGTTCTCCTTTTGTGTCTCCTAGCGCCCTCATGTGTCCTTGTTCTGCTCCTTCCCTCATGTGTCTCCTTGTGTTCTTCATCCGTCTCTAGGTTCTCCTGTTGTGAATCCTAGTGCCCTCTTGTGTCTTTGTCTACATCTTCCTCATTTGTTCCCAGAGCTGCAGCCCCTCTAGGTTTCCTTCCCCCCCAGGTATCTCTCCAGGTCCTGTGCTCCCCGTGGTCCTCCTTAGTCACGCCCCTGTAGTGTCTCTTTCTGTAGTGTTTTTCTTTAGTTTCAGCTGCTCATTTATTAATCTTTTTTGGTGTGTTTCTCTCACCAGATTATTAGTTTATTATTTTGCTTTTAGTGTGTTTTCTTTCCCCAGATTGTTAGTTAGTTACTTGGCTCTTCTTATTTTTAGGTTCTGTCTTAGATCATTTTAATTTTCTTCTTCATCAACTCACTGCCGTCTCCCTGATTAGTAATTGAGTTCACCTGTTTCTCTCTCTCCCCACACACCTGCAGTTCATCTCCCTCTCATCCTCCAATTCTGTATAACCCTGTCTTGTCTCTGTATGTTTGTCGGTCCATTGTTGTTTTTTCTGTCAGTCTCGTCTCGTTTGGATCTCCAGTGTTAGTAGTGCTTCTTGAGTCTCCAGTGTGTTTTTGGATGTCCAGATCAGTAATTGGACATGTTTGGGTTTTGGCTCCCTGCCTTTGGATTATCCCCAAATAAAGAATTTTTATTTCATCTTCCACCCCTGCCTCGTGTCATCCTGGGTTCTGCATTTTGGGTCCTAACCTCCTCCTTGCTCGCATCGTGACATTTAGGGCAGGTTAATTTTCAGGCGAACAGGATACACATATCCCTGATTGTTATAACTAATTAAATTCAATTCAGTTTTATTTATATAGCGCCAAATCACGACAAGTCATCTCAAGGTACTTCACATAATAAACATTCCAATTCAGGTCAGTTCCTTAACCAATCAGAAAAAATGTTTCCTATATAAGGAACCCAGCAAATTGCATCAAGTCACTGACTGGTGTCAGTGACTTTACAGCAATCCTCATACTAAGCAAGCATAAAGCGACAGTGGAGAGGAAAACTCCCTTTTAACAGGAAGAAACCTCCAGAGGATCCTGGCTCAGTATAAGCAGCCATCCACTACGACTCACTGGGGATCGAGAAGACAGAGCAGACACACACAAATGCACGCACGCACACGCACACACACACACACCAAGTAATGTGTCTATGGTTACATTGTGATTTCTTAGTAAATATTCTATTTGGTGAGAGATAAACTTTATTGTATTTATCCTAGTGGATCTATAATTAAACGGATAAACTAGTAGTAGCACATCCAACGTCAAGGAAAGCAAAAAGTTATTATCAGGAGAGGGAGAATGTTTTAGTGGTTAGCAGCAGTGTGCTAGACGATAGCCCCCTCCATGAGGCCACCACAGCTCAGCAGAACATCATTGTAGCTTCTTCTGGGGAGAAAAACACATAGAGAGAAAATAAAGTAAATAGCTGAAGTAGCAGGAAATAATACAGTTAAAGAGCAGATTGTAGAAGAAAGTAGTAGACTGTGAAAAGTGGTCAGTGTATCCTCCAGCAGTCTAAGCCTATAGCAGCATAAATACAGAGATAACTCTGGATAACTTAGCCTTTTTAGATGGAGGCATGTTGGAGGCAGGGCAAGGGAGAGCCGTCTTTACCGACTGTACACTCTACCTCCCTCTACTCCCCCACTTGTCCAGATCTAGGCTAACATCAGATTTTAACCATAAGCCCTATCAAATAAAAATGTTTTGAGCCTATTCTTAAAATTAGACAAGGTGTCTGCCTCACGGACTAAAGCTGGGAGCTGGTTCCACAGGAGAGGAGCCTGAAAACTAAAAGATCTGCCTCCCATCCTAATTTTAGATATTCTGGGAACCACCAGTAAACCTGCAGTCTGAGAGCGAAGTGCTCGGTTAGGAACGTATGAGAACAATCAGATCACTAATGTGTTGATATAATTTATCTATAGCCATAACACTGTTGACAACTCTGTTCTTCCTTCACAACCCAATGGTCCACTTTCTGCAGCTCTCTGGACTCCTTTTATTATTTTATTTTACATTTTTCCAAACGTACCGACACTTTTTCCTGTTACTTTATAAAATCTTGTGTAAAAAAAAATAAATGGAATTTCTTTGGATAAGACAAAAAAAGGAGGGAAGAATCATTTTCCCAAGTTGTTTCTACCATAGGTTCAATAATTTCTTAGCAGCCAATTGAAATTACTTTACTTGGTTTAAAAATCTGGTCTCACAGTACAGGCTGGAAGACCAGTTGGAAAGTCATTGCAGTGATCGAGGTGGGAGATGACAGTAGATTGCACCAGGAGCTGGGTGGCATGTTGTGTTAGGTATGGTCTGATCTTTCGTATGTTATACAGCGCAAAGTGGCATGAATGAGCAACAGAGGCAACATGATCTTTAAAGGTCATGTGTTCATCAATCACAACACCCAGATTTCGAACTGCCTTTGAAGGAGCCAGAGACAGGAAGTCATTTTGGATTGAGATATTGTGCTGTATGGATGGTTTTGCTGGGATGAAGTAAACCGAACAGAAAATAACCCACAGACATGCAGCTGTCTGTCTTCTTGTTTAATATCGTGTGTGAACGTCTGAAATCACGTGTGGTGTATGTATGTGTGATGTAGCAATTCTCCCGTGATGTCATGAAATCACGGGAGAATTGCTACATCACACGTGGGTTTAGCATGGGTTCAGCAGTGTGAATCATGGATAAGGGTGCATTGACATTCACACACACACACACACACACACACACACACACACACACACACACACACACACACACACACACACACACACACCTGAAATGGAAAACTGTCAGCAACACAGGACAGCGTTTGAATTTGGGGGGAATCTGGTCTCCCTTAACTACAGCATGTCAGCCACTCAGGAGGGTGGCACACAGAGGCTCACCGCTCAGAGCCCGACTCTGGGAAAGGTTAGCAGGATCAAACCACTTTGAGGCTAGGGGGAGGTTTGCTGCATTTTTGTTGTTAACCGTCTGGAGGCAGGTGTTGCAGATTTGCAACGTTAAAACCTATCTACCTGGTTTCTCCACAAACGTATTTCATGAGCATTTGTTTACTCAGAAGTACCCCTGAAGGACATAGTTGTTTGTCCTTTGATCAAAACTTATTTGAGCCAGAGAGGGTTAAAATACAATGTTTCAACCAAGCACTGTATGCTAAAAACGGGGTAGGGTGCTAAAAATGCCCATGTCCTTTTCCTTGTTCTGAAAACTCAGATGATGGTTACTGAGTTTGACCCTAAAACCAGCTGTTCATACAGCTGAGAGATCTCTGGTCTGGTTGGTGAACTCTCAGTTAAAAGTCCCTTTAAAGATAAAATAAATCATTCAGATTAACAGACATGTTTTTATTAGCTGGATGCCTTCTGCTGCAGCACCAACACCATTTCTCAGGTGCGTTCAGGTTTTTAGTTTTTATGAAAGATGAGAAAGATAAATGAGCCACAGAAATAACAGGAATACAAACAGAACCACATAAAAACATTTTGATTTGTTTCTGCAGAAGAACAGAGAACTACTTAAACGATCATTTCCCTCCTGAATGCAGATAAATAATCACTGAACATGAGTTTCTGAGTCCAGGCTTGTTTTGTTATATCTTTAGGTTCTGGTGCTGATAGAAGGTCCGGAGCAGGATTAGCTGGCTGGTTCTGCTGGTCTTTTCACAGGAAGACGTGCTCCATGAGACGTGCTCCGTCCGGGTCTGAGGACAGGACTCCGGTTCCGTTCTGTCTTAGTAGGATGGACCGTATGGCCCGGCTCAGATCAGCCCGGTTCAGGTCGGAGCATCGAGACGCCACCTGATCCCAAACATCCACTGAGGAGCTGCTGTCCTCCAGGATGACATTCTCCAGCACATCTGAAAGGATGAAGAGACAGAAACGTTGTGTTAGACCAACATCCTACTCCTCAGAGTCTTCATTGTTATTACATACATTATATAGAATTATATGTGTCTGGTGTGATTTGCAGATTTGAAGACTACACCGGCTTGTTAAGCCCCTCATGCTTAAACTCACAGACTGGTTTCACTGGTCTCCGTCCAAAACCAGCTCCAATATAAACTATACCAATAAAAGGATCTGGTCCTGATAAGTGCTGATGTCACTCTTCCCCGTTGCTTATTTTCCACTTTGAACATTAACGCTGGTGATTCAGCCAGTTTACTTTAACCTGCCTTTGAAACAGGGATTATCTGCCCAATCTGTATAATCCCTATTTACTAGGGATGAGCGAGTACACCACTATCTGTATGTGTATCTGTTCAAACATCTAAATTATCTGTATCTGCAGTTGCAGTCGGGAGTGGGCGGGGCCTAACCCGGAAGTGGGTGTAGTTTAACTGGAAGTGGGTGTGGTTTACATCAATACATTATTTTAAGTCTGAAATTGATATAGATTGATCAGAAGTTGCTATGTGTATAGTTTATTTGAAAACTATTTACAGAGCAGCCTCAGAACTGAGACAATAGTAAAGGAACTATTACAGAACAAGTGTTTCAATAAAATCAGAGCATTCTTATTATTTTATTTGATTATTTAAATTATAAATCATTTGATTCAGTCTCAGCTGAAGTACCCTCTGTATCGCTCATGGCAGTGACTGACAGCTCAGGCTGTTTTCAGCTGTCTTGTCAAATTCTAATTTGTCTAAATTTGTCAACAATTATTAATAAAGGCTAGGTCACTTCCTGATCTAGCCAGTACTCTGTCGCCTTCTGGTTCGGCCGACCGGATGAGAAAAGCACTTGGGACCACTCTCTCTTTTGACTCAAGGTCAAAGCCGCTCAGCAACGCTTGTGAGTGGTATCAGATGCAAAAGAGGTACACCAGCTTCCTGCCGTCACCTGGAAGGTTATCTCAGAGCAGACAGGTCATACTTGGAGCCGAACTATGGTTTCCCTTACCCAGAGGTCCACTCCAGTTCTAACGCAGTTTGTCCATACTGACCTCTTGACCCCCTGGATCGCACGAGGGCCTTCAACAAAAAGGGTTCGTATATTCTCACACTGGCGTGGGATGAGTTTATTAATAATCTCTATCTTATTAAACCATACAGTCAAACTGATTTTACAACCCAGACATCACAAGATCTCTCAGATACTTAATAAGGTTTTGCTACATAAACATCTAGCTTACATTCCATCATTTCATTCATACTTTGTCATGTATAATCATTAGTTTAGAAATATAGAATTAAATAAATTTTTATAAACTATATACTTGACTCGGATCTAATATGAAGTGTGGGTTTCCCTGAACAGTCAAATAACCTAAGGTAATATTAAATCAAATATTCAAAGACCAACAATATTGATTATTGATATTTATATGGAACATCACATCTTGGCTGTGCAGTGGTTAGAGCTGTTGCCTTGCAGGAAGAAGGTCCTGGGTTCGCTTCCGCGCCTGGGATCTTTCTGCATGGAGTTTGCATGTTCTCCCTGTGCGTGTGTGGGTTCTTTCCGGGTTCTCCGGCTTCCTCCCACAGTCCAAAAACATGACTGTTAGGTCAATCGGTCTTTCTAAATTGTCCTTAGGAGTGAGTGTGTGTGTGCATGATTGTTTGTCCTGTGTGTCTCTGTGCGATGGACTGGCTCTGTCCAGGGTGTACCCCGCCTGATTACCCATTGACCGCTGGATATACAGGTGCTGGCCAGTAAATTAGAATATCATCAAAAGGTTGAAAATATTTCAGTAATTCCATTCAAAACGTGAAACATGTACATTATATTCATGCAATGCACACAGACCAATGTATTTCCAATGTTCATTACATTTAAATTTGATATTCATAAGTGACAACTAATGAAAACTCCAAATTTGGTATCTCAAAAAATTAGAATATTCTGAAAAGGCTGAATATAGAAGACACCTGCTGCCACTCTAATCAGCTGATTTACTCAAAACACCTGCAAAGGCCTTTAAAAGGTCCCTCAGTCTTGTTTTGAAGGCACCACAATCATGGGGAAGACTTCTGACTTAACAGCTGTCCAAAAGACAATCATTGACACCTTGCACAAGGAGGGCAAGACACAAAAGGTGATTGCTAAAGAAGCTGGCTGTTCGCAGAGCTCTGTGTCCAAGCACATTAACAGACAGGCGAAGGGACGGAAAAAATGTGGTAGAAAAAAGTGTACAAGCTCTAGGGATAACCGCACCCTGCAGAGAATTGTGACGACAAACCCATTCAAAAATGTGGGGGAGATCCACAAAGAGTGGACTGCAGCTGGAGTCAGCGCTTCAAGAACCACCACGAGGAGACTCATGAAAGACATGGGATTCAGGTGTCGCATTCCGTGTGTCAAGCCACTCTTGAACAAGAAACAGCGCAAGAAGCGTCTCGCCTGGGCCAAGGACAAAAAGGACTGGACTGATGCTGAGTGGTCCAAAGTTATGTTTTCTGATGAAAGCAAGTTCTGCATTTCCTTTGGAAATCAAGGACCCAGAGTCTGGAGGAAGAGCGGAGAAGCACAGAATCCACGTTGCATGAGGTCCAGTGTAAAGTTTCCACCGTCAGTGATGGTGTGGGGTGCCATGTCATCTGCCGGTGTTGGCCCACTCTGTTTCCTGAGGTCCAGGGTCAATGCAGCCGTCTACCAGGAAGTTTTAGAGCACTTCATGCTTCCTGCTGCTGACCAACTTTATGGGGATGCAGACTTCACCTTTCAACAGGACTTGGCACCTGCACACAGTGCCAAAACCACCAGCACCTGGTTCAAGGACCATGGTATCCCTGTCCTTGATTGGCCAGCAAACTCGCCTGACCTTAACCCCATAGAAAATCTATGGGGTATTGTGAAGCGGAGGATGCAATACGCTAGACCCAACAATGCAGAGGAGCTGAAGACGACTATCAGAGCAGCCTGGGCTCTCATAACACCTGAGCAGTGCCACAGACTGATCGAGTCCATGCCACGCCGCATTACTGCAGTTATTGAGGCAAAAGGAGCCCCGACTAAGTATTGAGTGCTATACATGCACATTCTTTTCATGTTCATTCTTTTCAGTTGGCCAACATTAGAGAAACAAACATTTTTTCATTGGCCTTTAGAATATTCTAATTTTCTGAGATACCAGATTTGATGTTTTCATTGGTTGTCACCTATAAATATCAAATTTAAATGTAATAAACATCGGAAATACATTGGTCTGTGTGCATTGCATGAATATAATGTACAAGTTTCACGTTTTGAATGGAATTACTGAAATATTTTCAACCTTTTGATGATATTCTAATTTACTGGCCAGCACCTGTAGGCACCAGCCACCCCCCCCCCCTCCCCCCCCAATATTTTGTGTGTTTCTAACAACATAGTTTGGTACAACAGAAAACTTGTGGCTTATTAGGGCATACACGTCCTCATAGCTAGAGTCCCTTTTAAATGCTGTAAGTGCATTTTGTTTTAAGCGGGCGTGGGCTGAGCTTCACTGAAACAAGCTGTTATATTTCAGGCTGACAAAAATAACATATTTTAGATCAAATGACATCTCAACAGTCCCAACAGTAACATTATTATGTCTACAATTGCTCTCAAAGGTTTAAAATAGCACAGTATGGAACCTTTAAAAAAGGAAATCCAGGGTTCAAATCTTCTCAACTCTTTGATACTAACATGTAGTATCCTGATAAATGCGAATAAATCCTTTGTTCACCAGTAATGGTGACAAATCTGACCCAGTTCCCCGGTGTGCTGATGATGCTCATACAGGCTAGATTACCTTCTCTGACCCACTCAGCAGCTGGCAGACTCACCTTGTTCTCGGCTCATGAGGCTGTCCAAGAGCTGCAGCACTACCCGGTGTTGCTGTGGGTCCACCAAAAGAGCAGAACAGGCTCTGCCTACTGGCAATATGGCCACCTGACCTTGAGAAGGTTCTGTCAGCAGTTGGAGGAGAGTGGGGTTGCTGGAAGAAGTCAGAACCCACATGCAGTCATCTGAGACAGAAACATATGGAGGTCAGAACCAACCTGCTCCAGACACACATTTATACAGGTGAGATGATAGAATGGTTTATTTTTTATGTTTTAATATTAAAAACTCATCTAAACCATCAAATTTACAGTTAGTTTTAAATACCAGAGCCAAAAGGAAATATCTTCAATAGTCATTTAAAGTTCACACAAACAGGTTCTGGTTCTGGCTCCATCCTGCAGAGCAATGGTTACGTACTGTAACCCCAGATTATGTGAGTATTGACCCTTTGCACCGACGTCTCCTAATCACGTGGGTCCACCATGCAAAACAGTGAGCGACACGATTACTAAACAAAGGGAAAAGTAGAGCCTGAAATTGTTTTTGCGATCAAAACAAAAACAAAACTCCTCCAGCATTCCTTTAACTAGTTCATGCCCAGTTCAGTTATCAGACGAAGTAGCGCATCTAGCGGGGGCTCATAGAGAGCGGTATGCTAACTAGCTTACCAACGTTAGCTTACGTTCTCTCTGCAGCTGTTCACCGATGTAAACATGTTGCTGACTTTGCCTAATTTCACCCCTCTGGATTTATAACTTTATGTTATAAACAGCGTTTCACTTCACACCAAAGCTGATATTTAAAAAGTCCGGATCCCTACCAGCTTCTGTTGCTGGTGGTGTTACCGGGTTCAGCTGCTGCTCTCACACCGGAATGAGAAGATCTCTGAACGGCAACGCTCACATAAATAAATAATGTAATTTTAACACACGTAGTCATACATCGGAGCTTTAATATTGTTGATAATTGTCTTGCTTTACACTACAGAGGACGGAGCGCAGCGTCCGTGGTGAAATACCCATCCATCAGGATTATCAATAACTAGTATAAACACATCACATTTATCCCTGTCCCTGTCTTCCTCGTGAAATAAATGAACGTTAATCTTACCCGGTAAAAACATGTTCGCTGCAACTCTGAGGGATGCTAGTCCGCTTGATTGATCGCTGCAGTTCATCTCCGTCCTCAGTCTCCATCAAAGTTATTAAAAAGAAAAAACGAGTTGAGTTTACATCCTTGTCTCTTACTGCAGCCAACTACGCAGCAAGCTAAAACCATTTTACTGTCAAATCAACTAAATAAAAGCGATAAAAGGCTGCAAACTGGCTTGTTTTGACTAGCTTCACTGGAGTTTCAACGGGTGTAAACAGTCTTTTTGCCGTCCATCATGGCGAAGGGGGCAGTCACATGAGTGGCGTGACATCATGTGCAAAGGGTCAATAGGTACAGCCCTTTTAGCCTGCTGCTTTGGGACGAGGTCACATTCGCTAGCCTGGCCTATTTCTGGGGGGGGGGGGGGGGGGGGGGGCTGGGTCTGATCACGGCCCCTGCTTGGAGGAGGGCATCTTCCTCCATGGCAGCAGCCACAAAATGCTTTTAAGCAGCTGCAGATCCGGGAACCACAACATAGAGGTGCACTGTAAGTTGTTCTAGCCAAACTCTGTCCCTGAATCGAAGGATCAGAGGGACAGCGAGAAACATGTAAAGGAGCATCCTGGGCTGCAAACGGTGCACAGACATGTCCACTCCCAGCGGAGACTGATCCTGCGGTCTCAAGGAGAACCACATTTAGCTCTGCGCGTTCCCACGAGCAGCACACAGGTCCACAGTGGGTTTGCTAGAGTGGAGATGCAGGAGAGAGTTGCAAGGACCACACCACATTCAGGACACCTGGAATGTAGGTGGCTCTGATCAACAGCAGGTGCGCATGAGTCCAGCATAGCAGGTCCCGGGCCACACACAGAAGTGGAAATGAACAAACCCCACCCAGGTGATTTATGTAGGCTGCTGTTACCTGATTGTTTGTATGCATCTCTCAACATGAGATGAAAGGTCTCATGGTGTTTTTCATTGTAATTCCAGCATGTTCATGTGTGCATACGTGTGGAGAGGCCTACTTTTTCCCACCGTATGGGATAAATATGTGCCCCAGCCCAACAAAGATGGGTCCATAAACACTGAGATGGATAAGGAGAAAGGGCTTCCCCAGTATGCAAGGTCTCCTTCCACCGAGGAGGGAATCTGCAGTATACATCTCTTCTGATGTACTGTCTATCCTTAGGTGAGTCAACCGGTGCTGAAGGCAAGTCGAGTGCAATAGGTCGAGTGGAACCACCGTGTGGGCCACTGACATCATGCCCAGTAGCCTCATAACTGACAGGGCCCTGGTTGTTCTGTGAGGTTTAACGTGAGAGATCATTGCAAAAAGATCTTCTGCTTTGTCTGAAATTCACAAGCTCTCATGAGAGAGCAGTTCAGCTCCACACCCAGGAAGACAATCGACTGGGACAGGGCAGTCAAGCTTTTTTTCCCAGTTTATAGTGAAACCCAGGTTTGACAAGTGTTCTGGTAATGACCTCGTTTGGATTACTGCTTCCTCTTTGGAGCGAGCTACGAGAAGCAGGTCATCCAGGTGAAACAGAACCCTCATGCCAACCATGCGTAAAGGCTAAAGTGCCATCTCTGGGCACTTGGAGAATGAACAGGGGTCAAGAGAGTAAACAACTGGGAGTCTATTGAACTGGTACTGAACTCCTTTGAAGAAGAAATGCAGGAACGTCCAATATTTTAGAATTATTGAGACGTAGAAATAGGGTTAGACACAAGTTGTTTAGGCACATGTATTCTAAAACCTGTTTCAATGTTAGCATACAAAAGTGCATCACAGCAATGAAACAGTCGAACCAGGACAGGTCTAGGATGAGCCTCATCCCCCCCCTTTTCTGGGAGTAAATCCCTTACCTCTCATCTCCCATTTGAACTCGGGAAATAGCTTCTTTGGGAGAAGCTCCTACAGCTCCAACTCAAGTGCAGAGCACTGTTCTGTCTCCACAATCCCATTGAAAGGGGGAGGGGCAGACAGAAAACAGAGTGACCATGGTGGATAAATGATAAATGACCTGCACTTGTATAGTACCTCTCAGAGAAAGGACTCCAAAGCGCTTTACACTACAGTGTATCATTCATCCATTCACACACCCATTCACACACTGATGGTGATGAGCTACAATGTAGCCACAGCTGCCCTGGGGTGCACTGACAGAGGCGAGGCTGCCGAGAACAGGCGCCACCGGTCCCTCCGACCACCACCAGCAGGCAAGGTGGGTTAAGTGTCTTGCCCAAGAACACAACAGCAGAATTCTCTGTCCGGAGCCGGGATCAAACCTGCAACCTCCCGATTACTGGACAACCCGCTCAACCTGTTGAGCTACTGCTGCCCCATAGTGTTGTACATCAATTTGTTCGTGTGACAAAACGACATCACTCAGTGGCGCTTTCCAACAGCAGGTGCATGCATGGAACCGGAGGTGTGTGTACTATATCAGTGAGCCAATTTTGAGCCCCTTCCACCATTGCTGGTATTGATTACCAAAGCGACCCATGGGGGGCTGTAGTCAAATAGGGAAGTGGACAGGCGAGCGTTCAACGCAAGGATCTGTTCCGTAGCAACATTCAGTTCAATTCAATTCAATAATACTTTATTAATCCCAGAGGGAAATTAGAGTTGCTGTCAGTCTGGAGGAACCGCATTAATGCAGAGCGTGTATCAGCTGATTTGCATCACGAGGCACGTGATGGAGGTCTAAGCACTGTTCAGGGATGCGTGCATGAGGTTGGCAGAGCGCGGCTGAGTGGAACCGTATACTCTAGTGCCAAGCATGCGTGAATCTGCATCTCAACAGCTCCGTCCACACCACTCCATGGGAGAAGCAGGGGAAGCTGAGCCGAGTCCAAAGCTGCGGTGTGCTTCATCATCAAATTCCACACAGTCGGAAAGACACACACTCCTCCCAACGAGTAATTTCCTTGGCTGCTTCCTGGGAGTGTCTTGGGGTTGGGAAGGCCAAGATGAAGCTTGCTGGTGCGCTCTCCTGAACTACTGAGTGTTAAACATCTGGTCTCGCTGCGCTAGTGGAGCAGCGGAAAGTTTGTTCCGAGGAGTGGCTGGTGCAGCTGGACACGAAGCTACCTTGCCGAGGGCTTGTATGTGGCATGTATCGAAGCACTTTGTGATTGGCTGGCTAACGAGAATTTTTTTCAATAGCAACAGGGTTAAAGGGCCTCAACAAAATGCCTCAAATTTAAACCTGAATCTGGTGTCCATGACGACAACACCAGTTAAACCAACCTGCAGTCAGGTTCAGCTTCATGAACTCAGCGGCACTGTGGGTCAAACCTCTTCTGCACATGCTCAGTGCAGTCTTCCTATGTACCTTACAGGCCTCATAGACGATGCTGGCCAAGGCTAGACACTGGTCCAACACGTGGTGGTTGTTCTGAGCATGTTCAGTGAGAATGTCGCCCAGCTCCTCAGTGAACATCAGTCTGAGATGAAACAAGTTCTGATGTAAAAACACTGACAACTTATGACATCATTTCAGTCATTTTCTCTAAAAACTTACTTTTTTCACCAACTTACTGATCGGTATCAGGTATTTACACACCTGTAGACTAACCTCTTTCACTAAAGCTGAGCAGACACTGTTAGACTTTTTCACTTGTAGCTCTCAGCTTCAGATCAAACTACGAATTCCACGGAGAACAAACCTCACGAGTCATGCGCTCACACTGTACGACCCAGTTCTTGGATGCGACCTGGCTGCTCACTCTGCACGTCTGGTAGCAACATGTCAGACTTAAAAATATGCTAAAAATAGCAGTTTTTACACAAAACTTCAAACTTTTTATTGTGTTGTAATTGATGTCTGTTGTCCTTCGGGAGTGCTGCAGGAGGACACACGGGGACACGGGGGTTGGAGGAAGATGACAATCCTTGTCATTGAGTGCGAAAAAAAAGTGTATAAATACAATTGAACGATGTGTGTTAATTCAATTCAATTCAAAAATACTTTATTAATCCCAGAGGGAAATAGATTAGCCTTTAGGGAAACAGCTGGCAAGCCTTGTTGACGCATGTTTGCACATGAGCGGTTCTGAAACTCTTTGGGTAGCAGCTGCTTGCAGCGCCGCTTCAACAGTGCGATACCCTCACGAGGGATGAGCAAAATATCAACCACCCTAGAAAGCCATGCGTACTTATGATTGCTGATCGCTAGCTGGTCACGTGGTGTTAACCGCCTCTCGTAACCCCCTGTATACCACACGAAGCTAAGCGCAAAACTCACCCCGATCTTGTAGATTCTCGCACGAGGAAATAAGCTCAAAAAAGTGAAAAAGTTGCAGTGTACACCCAGCTTTATAAACTATGAGCAAGCGTGTTGGCTCCTTTATACGAGGAGTAAAGGATTTTGTGTTTGTGTGTGAGATTACCTTGTTGCTCTCCTTTTTTCATTTTGTTTTCTTTTTCTCTGATTGTGCAGTTTTATGACTAAATAAAAAATTATTAAAATGAACATTAACGATTGTTGTAAATAAATGATCTCAACTTTAGTCAAAATAATAATTTTCTGCCATAATTGTGCAACCCTAATTGCAACAAAAGCCATTTCATTTAATAAATGTATTTGTGAAGATCTCTTTTTCTGGAGTTTTGATAGTGATGCTCTAGCACTCTCTGGTGGCACTAAATATATTACATCCATAACAGAAGGAAGTGAACTGCCAGTTAACCGGGCAAAACTATTAAACCCAGTTACTATGTACATCCTTAAAACACACACACACACACACACACACACACACACAAATATAAACACATACAAACACAACCATGCACATTTACACACACCAAAACACACACAGAATGAATGTTTGTACTTGTCCTGAGAGACAGCATGAGTCACCAGATGAATGTTGCCATGCTGCAGAGAACAGCGTACGCCCTGCAGGGACACATCACCTGACAGCCGGTCACCTTTTGCTGTGGTAAACAGCAGGGCCCGAAAGAACAGGAGTGCCGGAGGAGTTGATGCTGGGGGGGCCTGTACACCTGAGAGGAGATGAGAGTGTGAATAAGTGTTTGTGTTTGAGTGTGTGCATGCATGTATGCATTTATGTGTGTGTGTTGTCCACCTGCAAACAGCTCCATGGTGTCAGCGTTCCTCAGAACTCCTCTAGGAGACCTGGCTGCATGTAAAGCAGCTTCTTCATATTGAGCTGATTCTAGAAGCTCCACAAAGCTGAACAAGAATCCAGAGTTAACTTACTCTCCTCCTATCTGAGAAGGACCAAATGTGTGTTGGACCAGCACCTGTCCAGGTGATCCTGCAGGAGTTTGGACTCATCCACTCCAGTCGGCTCTTCATCCTCAAACAGCTCAGAGTCGATGTTGCAGGAGGAGCCGTGACCCTCTGTGGGATGAAAAGTGAAGCTAACCTCTGACACAGGTTTAACCCCCTATCAGTAGCTGTATGTTTCTGTGATGTTCAAAAGGATGAATCAAACTCTGTCTCCGAATGAATGATCAGAAGACTTAAATTAAGTTGACAATACTTATCCAAACTATACTATACTACAAAACCTTTACTACGACAATACTACTCCTCTAAATCCAAGACCATGGTCTTGAGTCAGAAAAGGGTAGAATGCCTTCTCCAGGTCAGGGATGAGGTCCTGCCCCAAGTGGAGGAGTTTAATATCTCGGGATCTTGTTCACGAGTAAGGGAAAGCTGGAGTGTGAGATCAGCAGGCAGATTGGCACTGCGTCTGCAGTGATACGAGAGTTGTACAGATCTGTCGTGGTGAAGAAAGCTGAACCGCAAGGTAAAGCTCTCTATTTACCGGTGAATCTACGTTCCAAGCCTCACCAAAGGTCACGAGCTTTGGGTAGTGACCAAAAGAACAAGATCGCAGATACAAACTGCCCAAATTAGTTTTCTGCGAAGGGTGTCTGGGCTCTCCTTAGAGATAGGGTGAGAAGCTCAGTCATCCAGGAGGGGCTTGGAGTAAACCCAGCTGAGGTGGCTCGGACATCTGATTAGGATGACTCCTGGACGCCTCCTTGGTGAAGTTTTCTGGGCAAGTCCAACTGGGAGGAGGCCTAAAGGGAGACCCAGGACACGCTGGAGGGACTATGTGTCACGTTGAGGGAAGGAGGCTTGGACCCAAAATGCAAGAATCCAGAACTACACAGGAAGGAGCGGTTGCAAAAATAAGAATCCTTTATTTTTGGAGCAGTGACTAAAAAAACTCAAAAGCACAGGAGGCAACTAGAACAATGCTGACAAAGACAATGGACCAACAAAACACTGAGAGACAAGACAGGGTTATATACAGGGGCTGGGTGATTAAGGGAATTGGGCACAGGTGAGATTAATACACTGAGTTGGAGCAGAAACAGGCAGGGGAGAACACCAGATGTAAATCCTGTGAAACAAAGCTACTAAACTAAAATAAACCTAAACACTGTAGAACTAAGACACAGGAGATCTAAAGATAAGTAAACTAATGACCTAAATGGAGAAGGAAACAACACACTAAAGGAGATACTAACTAGATAATCTGAACATATAGAAAACTAAAAACAAGTGAAGTGACTAGGGGGAACCTGAGGGAAACCTGGAGGAGGCTGGGGACCAAAGGGGCACAGAACATGACAGTATGTCTCTCTGCGGGCCAGGGAACGCCTAGGTATTCCCCCAGAGGAGCTGGCCCAAGTGGCTGGGGAGAGGGAAGTCTGGGCCTCTCTGCTAAGCTCAAACTGTACGACTTCATCATAGGGCAGATCTCACGAGCCATGTGCTCACACCGACCCAGTTCTCGGATGCGACCTGACAGCTCACACTGTACGTCTGGTAGCAACACGTCGGACCTAAAAAATATGCTAAAAATAGCAGTTTTTACTCAACACGTCAGACTTTTTTGTCTTGCTTGTTGTCCTTCGGGAGTGCTGCAGGAGGACACACAGGGGTTTATGGGGGTTGGATGAGGAAAACGAAATAACGAAAGTAAATCTGTGTTTTGTGATCAGTTTAATTTGACATGAACACGACAAACACGCTTTCTTGACAATCTTTGTGAGTAAAAAAAACGTGTAGAAACAAAAATGAACAACGTGTGTTATTAGGGAAATAGCGGGCGAGCGGCGTTGATGCAGGATTGCGCATGCGCCGTGAGCGGTTCTGATACTTTTTGGGTCGCAGCTGCTCGTAGCGCCGCTTCAACAGTGCGATACCCTCACGAGGGACGAGCAAAATATCAAACACGCTAGAAGTCTGTGCGAGCTCACGATTGCTGATCGGTAGCTGGTCACGTGGTGTTAATCGCCTCTCATAACCCCCTGTACACTACACTCGGCGAAAAATTCGCCCCGATCTCGTGGATTCTCGCCCGAGTGGAAAATCGGCTCAAAAAAGTGAAAAAGTTGCACAGTGTACACCCGGCTTTAGGCTACTGCTGTCGCGACCTGACCCTGGACAAATGGCCGAAAATGGATGGATGGATGAATACTTCAAAAAGATAGAAAGAGTCTTAAAATTTTAAGTGCTTTGAAAACTCTCCACACCACAAAATACACACTCAAATAATTTGCTGAAGCTTGGAGGAATAGTCACAGCCACATAATTTGGCAAGATCAAGCAAGGCTGCGTAATTTGTATGATGGGACATTTCATGCTGTAGCAGCCAGTAAAGGCATTTAAACCCATCAATTATTGCCTCATGCCCCAAGGTTAATCACTGGCTCAAAGGCTTCACTAGCTACATTTACAAGGGCACAAATAATTGGAATGAATGCCCTATCAGACCAAAAATTCTTCATTTAAACATGTCAATCAGAATATTCTGATTCTATACGACCCAACTGGAATGAATTCCCATTCCAATTGAGAGAGGTGGTTTTGTCCGATCATCATTCCGATTGACGTCCATGTACACACTCAGATTCTTGGAGGAAAATAATGCCCACTGCGCATGTGTGCAACTTCGGCGTGACGTCTTTCCGCCTTTGTAGCTGCTCAGGACAAGTCGAAAACATGGCAGGAGGAAAACAGAAGTTATCCTGCTCTCCTCTCCTGTAGCAGAGGGGCAGTATCGTTACGTACCGCTGATCCTGTAGCTCAGTAAAAACTAAAGCATACAAGTAAAAATGCAAAGAAGGTCCATAACAAGGGGAAAAAAAAAACAGAAGTTAACAAACAAAGCTAGAGAAATAGAAAATAAAATGTGAGGGGAAAGACGTGCAGATAAGATGGTGTTTGTTTACAATTTTCTTCTGGGTAAGACAACTCTGCACGTGCTCATCCAATCTAATCTGACTGAATGCTTGGTGTATGTATACTCAACATGAGCGGATTATTTCAGTTAGTGTCCATGTAAACAGGTGTAAACCATGAAGAAAATCAGGATATAAGACTAATCCACGTAGTCTGACACGTTATGCGCTTGCTCCACATGACGGCACTTTCTGTCTAGAAGAGCGCCAGCAGCACCAGACGTGCAGAGAGAGAGGCCTTGTTTGCCTGGAAAAGAGACGAGAGCAGACGGACGAACAAGGGGAGTGGCTAAAAGCCGGCGTTTAAGTTGGACAGATTTCCCCTCATGTAGCTTGTGGGTGACGATAGCTAAAGATATCATGTTCATTATAGTGTAAAATGCTGGTGCCTGTTAGCAGCCGAAACACATCTTCACATGACTGTAACAATAAGTAAAGGTTAGCAGCTGTAGATTTGTAGTGTGCTCATAGGAAACGTGACAAACGAAAACTCTTTGGAACAAATCACATTTCTCATTATGGCCTAAAAAGTTGTCATCATCCCCAGCCACCTCCACCACAGGATGTTTGGATCAGAATGTGAACCAATCAGATCTTAGATCAGGTGAGAGCCAGGCGTTTCCCATCATACCCTTGGTTTTGCAGCTGGTGGAGAGCAACTGCAGCGCCTTCCTCCAAAATCTGTGGCCACCTTGATCTCATGAGGTTATCGTTGCCGATAGCCACGACGTCAGACCAAGTTGACGTTAAGTCGGGCACAAATCTAACCGGCATGCACTGTGCGCTGATAATGATAATGATGATAATGACCCGCACTTGTATAGCGCCTCTCAGAGTAAGGACTCCAAAGCGCTTTACACTACAGTGTATCATTCATCCATTCACACACACATTCACACGCTGATGGTGATGAGCTACAATCTAGCCACAGCTGCCCTGGGGCACACTGACAGAGGCGAGGCTGCCGAGCACAGGCGCCAAACGCCTGGCTCTCACCTGATCTAACCTGTGATCTAATCAGTGCAGAACTGGCTCATCTCGAACACAGCCAGAGACGCAAGACAGACAGCTACAGTGATTGTTTTCTCTCCCAAAAATATCTACTGTATGAGATGAAAAACACCATTTTGTTTTTGCTAGTTTTTAAAATTTAGAAGGAAAAAAAGACAAATTATCAAAAAAGTTAGGATTTATTTTTCTATGGGATGTTGATATTATGTGGAAAATAAGTATAAATTGATCTAAAAATTATTATTGGTACTTTTAGTTTCATTCTATTGAGGAAATTCAGACAAAGCTAAAACATTGGCTTCAATTTCAGGTTTCTAAATATTAAAGGGCAATTACAACCTATTTTTCCACTCATTGAGTATCTTTAATCTGCTCACATTTAAAACTACGGACCAGTGGTTCCCAATCTGGGTTTTGTGATCACCAAGGGGATCCCCACCAAAAGTATGGGAATTCAACACATACAAGCACCTTGTGATTTTTATCCTAAGAGGCGCTATACAAAAGATTGTTTCTTCTTCTTTTACAACATGTTTGTGCTGTAGGCTACTCGGACCGGCAAGCGTGCGTGGCCTCGTGCCGGAGAAGGAGGGAGACACTGACCATGCAGAGGAGACTGGTAACGTTTAAGCCTTTTATTAATACAGATCAAATGTGTCCGTCATTAAAATATAAAACAAAACCAAATCTCGTTGTCTCCCCCAGTGACTCTGGACGAAGCGTCCAACGAGGCATCCCGGGTCGGCCTGTCTCACCAGTGTAGGACACTTGTTCTGTGTGCGCATGAAGCGGTACAAGTGATAATGCTGCTGGAATTCATAATTGTATCTTCTCAGCAGCACTGCAGGTGCTTTCCGTGTTCAAAACGTGCGTACGCCAGGTCCTTAGTAAATTTAAAGTTGCGCAAATTTTTCCGCAAAGTTTGTTTTTATAAATCCCAAAGTTTGCGTGTAAAGTTGCTTACGCAGTTTTCCGACCTGAAAAGAAACGATTTTGTGCGTAAGCAAGCTTTATAAATGAGACCCTGGTCTTTCTGATCAGGTCATTCTACGCGGTTGGAGATCAGTGGGACATTAGCTACACTCTAACCTGAAACTAACAGAGTTTTTCTGGGTGTTTCCAGCAAGAAAAACGTGATAGAGCAGCGACGTTGGAGTCATTTTATCGTGTTAGCATGTAGCTAATGTCCCGCTGATCGCCATCCGTGGAGAATGGGCTGATCTGAAAGGCCAGGGGCTCCCAATCGCAGCAGTCTGGCTCTGCTTGTAATTTAACAGTCACAGTCCATATTAGACCACCACAGGTGACCAGCAGCCTCGCAGTGGGCTACTACGCGGTCCCAGGTGCCATTCTTAGCTTCTTTCGGTTAGCTACGTTAGCTAGTAGCTACAGTGGTTTCATTTGCTCCAACCTTGTTCCAAACGCAACAGCCCCTCCTGCCCCACCCCTCAGCTCCACCTCTTTTCCCATTTTTGGATTGTCAGGGTGTGACTCGGTCAAAGAAAAATAATTTTTGGCTTCAGCTTTCCCTTCGGTGGAGCAATGGGCGGGCTATGTTCATGTTTTTATATGTCGATGGTTTTAACCCACAGCACTCTTCTTTTTAGGGTCAAACGTATTTTGTGTCTCATAAACTGTAGTTTCTGATCTTCAAATTTTTTCACAGAAGATTTTTAAAACCTGGTATTCTTTCTTAGGATTAAAAGAGAGGAAATAATATCTATTTTATTAGTTGAAATTATTAATTTGTATGATTAAAGTGACCAAGTGTGCTTTGATGTGTAAAATAGATTCTAAAAGTATAAATAAAATAATATTAATGCAGAATTAGTGTGGGGACACAAACAGTTCTGTTCTCTGAGATAGCTCACAGCTCCTGTTCTCCTCATTCTCACTGACCCTAGCCATTCACCGTCTCTGAAACAACAGAAGCGTGAATCAGCAGCAGGCGTAAATCAATATCTAGTTCTGCAGTTGTACCTTTCTCACTAGCTCGGCCGAGAAAGGTTTATGATTGGTCAGAGTGGCTGTGTGTTTAGTTGAAAGTCCATGACCATATTTGGCAGATATTGTGACAAAATAGAGAACAAAACATAATAGAAAAGTGAGAAAACTGAACAGGTTAATAATCTGACCAAAGCTTTATACTAAAACTTCTAAGTAACACCTGGATTAACTTATTTATTTTCTCACACAACTAGAGACTTAAGATGGACAACACACCATATTTATGGGCTACATAGTGGATTTCCACATGTCCCTTTTAATAACTAATCAGTGAAAAGTAACACAACCTCCGAGTGAAAAAAATGCACACCAGAAGTTTAAAAATGAGCATTTATAAAACTAAACCTGGTTTCACCTTAAGTTAGATATTACCATCATTGGGCTCAGAGCTGAGGTGTTGGATGTTCTGTAGTGTAGAACCCAGAACTCCCTCCAGAGGAACCTCCTGTCTCTCCTGCTCCCAGCAGGTCAGACGGTTCACGACACAGCTGAGACGCATGAATCTGGAGAACACAGATACTGCAGTAACTAACTATGTCCACTGGGGGGCAGAATCACATAACTGCTCTGTTTTATTATTTATTTTTTTCACGAATCTGTAAACACACTGTTGGTGATCTCTTCACCCAGATGTTCTACAACAAGAGTGATAATTCTGAGATCTTCTTCTGGTATTTTTCTGTCTCACAGCCTGATTAGTGACCTTATTCTGGATGAAAAGTCCTCTGGATTCATTCTGAACTCAACACAGAACTGTTTTATGAATTAAAGTTAAGTCCCATTAGACATCATGACTCACTGGTGAAATTACATTGCCGACTTAGACCCATCCTTATGGGGAACGGTGAGCTGCAGCAGTGGCTGCACAACTATTTGGTGGTTTAAGCCCCCAATCCACCCCCTTAAAGCTGAGTGTCATGCAGTGAAGCATTGGGTCCCATTTTTAAAGTCTTTGGTATGACCCGACCAGATTTGGATCTCCCAGTCCCAGGGTGGACACTACCAGGCCACTGAGAAGAATTGAAAGAAGGTCTCTTTTTGTCTTCATTTGAGTTTAGTCTAAAAGCATCTTCAGAGCCAGGCAATGGTTTAGACACCAGGCAACATGCTGACATGCTGGGAAAAAGAATTAAGCTGGATTAAATTGGAGTCTGAACTAAAAAAATGTAACAAAGTATCACATTTTTAATATTTCAGGAGGTAACTGGTTTTAGCTGTTTTACTGTCTTACAGGACCCTCAGATGTTTGTTCTCGAAGCTCAGCTGGTCCCTGTGACGCTCAGCTGCCTGCAGCTCAGCTTCCAGCTCGGTTTGGACCTCAAGAGGAACACCCTGACTCCTATAGTCCATCAGAAGAGCTTTCTGGATCTCCAAGTCCTTCAGATGCTTCTGCAGAACATCGGGATCCTCTGACTCAGACAGGCCTGTGAGTTTTAAAAGAGTGGAACACCCATTTAATCAATACCTTGGCAGTGGTCTCTAGTAGGAATGAAAGCCTTGAAAGTCATTCACAGGGGGAAAATACACTGGTGCACCATTTCTAGGACCTAAAACTCCCAGATTGCTTTCTGTTGTCACATTCTGATTCAACCATAAATCAAAACAACTGAATTATAAAACTAACTCCCACATCACCCTTAACTCAGTTCAACGTTCTAGAGTTGCGAGCCGGCCACTCTAACTTTTTAACCACAAAGAACCTTGACAAGCTGGATTATAAAACCTGTTGCAAGCTACACCTGACACAAGTTGCAGATGCGGATGCGTTCGATATGGAAGTCAAGTGTGCCACATAATCATAAAAAAAGTAAATATAAATTTTTAAGAGAGATTTATATATTTATATATAAATTAAAACTTTCCAAATATGATGAAAATTTATAACTAACGTAAAAAATAAGAAGGAACATCTGTTGGTTAGGCTGAAAAGTTTGGGAAGTTGCTGCTGTCTCCCTGACAGTGAAGCTAAATGAGACTTTAATAATCATTTATTCCTAAACACTGACTTATATAACAGCTGAAACAAGAATGCTGCTGTAGAAACCAAACAAATAATCCTGGTATCAGATACACTCACCTAAGGAATTATCAGGAACACCGTACTAATATGGTGTTTGACTCTCTTTCTCCTTCAGAACTGCCTCAATTCTGCGTGGCATTGATTCAACAAGGTGTTGAAAGTGTTCTTTAGAAATGTTGGCCCATAATGATAGAATAGCATCTCGCAGTTGATGGAGATTTGTGGGATGCACATCCAGGGTACGAAGCTCCCATTCCACCACATCCCAAAGATGCTCCATCAGGTTGAGATCTGGTGACTGTGGGGGCTATTGTAGTACAGTGAACTCATTGTCATGTTCAAGAAACCAGTTTGAAATGATTGAAGCTTCATGACAAGGTGCATTATCCTGCTGGAATTAGCCATCAGAGGATGAGCACATGGTGGTCATGAAGGGATGGACATGGTCAGAAACAATGCTCAGGTAGCCCGTGGCATTTAAACCATATCCAATTGGCACTAAGGGGCCTAAAGTGTGCCAAGAAAACATCCCCCACACCATTACACCACCAGTCAGCACAGTGGTAACAAGGCATGATGGATCCATGTTCTCATTCTGTTTACGTTAAATTCTGACTCTACCATTTGAATGTCTCAACAGAAATCGAGACTCGTCAGACCAGGAAACATTTTCCAGTCTTCAACTGTCCAACGTTTGGTGAGCTTGTGCAAATTGTAGCCTCTTTTTCCTATTTGTAGTGGAGATGAGTGGTACCCGGTGGGGTCTCCTGCTGTTGTAGCCCATCCGCCTCAAGGTTGTGCTTGTTGTGGCTTCACAAATGCTTTGCTGCATTCCTCGGTTGTAACCAGTGGTTATTTCAGTCAAAGTTGCTCTTCTATCAGCTTGAATCAGTCGGCCCATTCTCCTCTGATCTCTAGCATCAACAAGGCATTTTCGCCCACAGGTTGTTGTAGGCATGTTTTGTCGGCGCGGCCGTGGGCAGAGATTTGCTAAAAGGAACTTTTTCATTCTGGGGTATATTCAGGCATTGTTGTGTAGCTAATTATAATTATCTTGCTTAATTGAAACATAGAACATAGTATTAACAATTGTAAACTAGTAACAGCCATAATTCAAATGGGTCTGGTGAGTTTGCAAAGAAGTAAAAAAAAAAAAAAAACAGAAGTCAGTGGGCTGGGCTCATTTTGCGTGAATGGGCAGGGCTGACTGATCTGACTCTAGTGCAGTTCCACCTTCTGGTGCAGCTCCGCCTTTGTGGTTCTGCAGCGAGCACTACTTGCTCTTTCTTGGATGGTTAATATTGCAATAATACATTTAAATCGCCATGTATGTAAGAAGTGGATGATATGTCCGCTGATGTCCTTTCACGTCTTGAACGAGGCTGTGAAAGACATGAAATTCATGGCGAGAAAAGACGTTGGTTCTACCTTAATTTAGGAAATATTTTAAGTTTGTTTTTAGTATAAAAATAATGGTTCAAATTTTAAATATTGAACTTTTAAAGTAATGGACTGATGTTGTTTCAACAGTCATCAAACGTTCAAATGTTTGTTGGGGCAGAGCAGAAGGAAGGTGAGAGAGTGCGTTCTGGCCTCAAGTGGAATTGTTGCATTGCATTGTCAGGATCTGGGGTGAGTCAGCACCATTCTGTTCATTATGCCTCAAGTATCAGCAGGTAGGCGGTTCCGGAGAGCAGCCAGCTGCAGGGTATTCCTAATCAACCGGTCCAGCATTTATAAGGAGCTGAGAGATCACTTCACTTCGCCAGATGATTACTCACTTTGGGTAGCTCTTGCCAACTTGAGATATCTATAGCCATAGTCCTTGTTTTTGTGCCCACTTTTGTAATTGCTGTTGAATTTACTCTGCCTTGTCCTCGCCAGGAACTCTTGCCTCAGACCACCTCTGCTATAACCTGGACATCACCTTCGAGTCAGATCTCCCTCCATGCCTGGACCGACCCGCTCTCCCACCACTCACCCCCATTGGATTTTGAATAACCACGGACGCTGCACACCCCCCTTGGATTTCGGATAACCAGAGACACTGCTCACCCCAGTCCTGCCTGCCCTCCCAAGCTCCAGGATTTCTGCCTACAGTAAGAACCACAGAGACTGAGTCCTCCTAGTTCTGTTCCTCTCTGCCCAACCCCTCACCAGTCTTAATCTCAACAGACCCAGTCCCAGAGCTGTGCTCAGCATCACCGCCACGTCTGGCGGTGCACCCTCAGTTGCCTTTTAACAAAGATTTGTTTTCTCCTTACCTACATCTCCTCATTTGATTCTGCATGTCTTGGGTCAGGAAACTCCCCACAGTCATGACGGAATCATCCGGACACACTCCTGACTCCGCAGAATCAGCATATCCCTCCATCTCCGAAACACTGGCACTCCACGACCGGACCATCCCAGCTCTTCTGGAACAATTAGCAAACTCCGACCAGCGCCTTCTTCAAATGGATTCCCTGCTCCAGAGCATACAAAGCCGACTTCCGCCATCTCCGGAACCTTCTTCCCCAGAACCCGTGGTTCCACCCGGGGCCGAATCACCAGAACCCCCTGCTTCTCAGCACTTCGGGGTTGCCGCCTCTCCACCTCCTGTTACTTTCGAGGGTGAGTCCGCTGAATGTCAGAGTTTTCTGCTGCAATGTAAGTTAGCCTTTGAGCGCTCTCCTGACTCTTTTAATTCCGAAGCTGCTCGGATTTCCTATGTAATTGGTCTACTCTGTGGAAGAGCTCTCTGGTGGGCAGAGGCTAGAAGCCATGACAAAACGTTTTTAAAGGGTCCTTTTCTGAGTTTTTGAAGGAGTTCAGGCTCACTTTTGGGGATATGGAGTCTCCCGCAGATGTGGCAAGAAGACTTCTCCGCCTCTCTCAAGGAAGGAGGTTGGTAGCAGAGTTTTCCATCGATTTCAGAATGATCACGGCTTCCTCAAACTGGAATGAGGAGGCATTAAGGGGAGCCTTCACCAAGGCCTTATCAGAGAGGATTAAGGACCAACTGGTGCTCTGTCCGGAACCCACTTCACTCAATGACCTAATTAACCTGGCCATACGGATCGATAAAAGACACCGGGAGAGAAATGCAGGTACGCACCACCACCCAGTTAATCACTTTTCGCAGTCCCCTGCTCCACCTCAGGCTAAGACCCAGGGTCCGGTGGAGGAACCGATGGAGGAACCGATGGAGCTTGGTCGGACCTGATTGGACCCTGAGGAGAAACAGCAACGCCGCAGGTCAGGCCTCTGTACTGTGGTCTTTCTGGACATTTTGTGGCAAGATGTCCATCATTGTTAAAAGACAGAGCCCATCATTAGAAACGAGAGTATTGATGGGCAGTATCACTGACAGTAAAACCTCTCGTACTACCATCCCCAGCACCTTAGTTTTCAGTCAACACACACTAAACTGTCATGCTTTGGTAAATTCAGGCTGTGAACAGAACCTCATGGACGTCGAACTGGTTAAACAACTAGAACTACCCACCGTACCTCTTTCCACACCACTCAAAGTCTCCTCATTAGATGGTAACACTCTCACCACCATAACTCACCGCACTGCTCCCCTTACTTTTAAGATATCTGGCAACCATACTGAAAAGCTGTCTTTTTTTGGGTTCCCCTCTCGTCAGTCACCTCTAGTCCTTGGTCATTCATGGCTAACCATCCATAATCCTCGCATAAACTGGCAGTCTAATAGCATTGAGTCTTGGAGCCCCAGGTGTTCAGAATGGTGCCTTAGATCCGCTCTCACCGTCCCTAATACAAACCCTAGAAAATCTCCTGATCCCCCAGACCTCACTGGTGTACCCGAGCCCTACCATGACCTAAGAAGGGTGTTCAGTAAGGACCACGCAGCCACTCTACCACCTCATCGACCATTCGATTGTAGTATTGATCTGCTTCCAGGGGCCACTCTTCCGTCCAGCCGCCTTTACAGCCTCTCCAGACCAGAAAGGGATGGAGACATATATCACTGAGAGCTTGGCCGCTGGTATCATTCATCCCTCTACATCACCCCTGGGGGCAGGGTTCTTTTTTGTCCCCAAGAAGGATGGTACACTGTGGCCCTGTATCGATTACCGAGGACTAAATCTCATTACAGTCAAGAATAAATACGTGCTGCCTCTTCTCTCCTCTACATTTGAGCCCATACAGGATGCCACCATCTTCACTAAGCTGGACCTCCGGAACGCATACCACCTGGTCAGGATCAAGCAGGGGGACGAATGGAAAACCGCGTTCAAGATCCCCTCGGGCACTACGAGTACCTGGTAATGCCTTTTGGTCTGACCAACGCACCGGCAGTGTTTCAGGCTCTCATCGACTACATGTTGGGTGATTTCATAAATCGTTTTGTCTCAATTTATCTCGACGACATTTTAATCTTCTCCAAGGATGCTACAGAACATGAGAAGCATGTTAGGGCTGTGTTACAGCATCTCCTGCAGAACAGACTATTTGTAAAAGCTGAGAAGTGTGAATTCCATGTGCCATCTTTTAGATTCATAGGATTCATCTTGGAGAGCGGGCAGTTGAAGGCAGACCCGGAGAAGACCCAAGCGATTCTGGACTGGCCGACACCCACCACCAGGAAACAGCTTCAGCATTTCCTTGGCTTCGCAAACTTCTACCGCCGTTTCATCCATAACTACAGCCAGGTCGCAGCCCTATTAACCAGTCTAACCTCTGTTTCCAGACCCTTTGTATGGACCAGCCAGGCCCAGGATGCCTTCTCCCTGCTCAAGATTAAGTTCACTCATGCCCCTGTGTTGATTCAACCTGATCCATCTAGGCAGTTCACAGTGGAGGTCGATGCTTCTGACACCGGAGTGGGAGCCGTACTGTCTCAGGTAGCCCCTAATGATCACATCCTCCATCCCTGTGCTTTTTTCCCCCCAACATCTTTCCCCAGCTGAACGCAACTACGACGTCGGGGCAGAGAACTACCTGTGGTGAAACTCGCTTTGGAGGAGTGGAGACACTGGCTCGAGGGGGTGGAGCTTCCGGTGGTGATATGGACAGATCATAAGAACTTGGCTTATCTCAAGGACACTAAAAGACTCAACCCCAGGCAGTACCGTTGGTCATTGTTCTTTTCTCGTTTTAACTTCATTATTTCCTACAGACCCGGAGCCAAGAGCACGAAACCAGGCGCCCTCTCCCGGCAGTTCTCCCCAGACAAGGAACTCGAGCCGACCACCATCATACCCCCCTCCTGCATCATCGGGGCCCTGACCTGGGACATTCGTACACAAGTGCTACAGGCCCTTAAGACCGACCCAGGCCCAGGTAACGGTCCACCTAACCGACTCTATGTCCCCAACCAGGTCAGAGGTCCTGTCATCCACTGGGCCCGCACTGGGCGTTTCTCTATGCATCCTGGGGTGAGACGTATGGTGGCTCTTCTTAGGCGCATGTTCTGTTGGCCGTCCCTGTACACGGATGTCAAGAGTTACATCGCTGCCTGCCACATCTGTGCCAGAGGTAAGAGCAGCAACCAACCTCCCTCTGGTCTCCTTAAGCCCCTTTCTATTCCTCTGTGACCCTGGTCCTACATTGTCCTGAATTTTGTTGCTGGATTACCCCCATCTAATGGATTCAGTTATACTATCTATAGTAGATTGGTTCTCTAAAGCCTGCCACCTAATCTCATTGAAATCTCTTCCTTCATCCTCTGTTACAGCTCAACTTCTGATTAAACATGTTTTTCATTTACATGGCATCCCCCAAGAGATCCTGTCTGACCGGGGTCCCCAGTTTATCTCACGCCTCTGGAAAGAGTTCGCCGCTGCGCTGGGGGCCAGGGTCTCCCTTACCTCTGGGTTCCACCCTCAAACAAATGACCAGTGTGAGTGGCTAAACCAAGAGTTGGAGGCCACCCTGCGCTGTGTGTGTGCCACTAACCCCTCGAGCTGGAGTATGCAACTCCCCTGGGTGGAATATGCACATAATAGTCATATCTCCTCCTCCACTGGAAAGTCCCCTTTTGAGACCTTTCTGGGCTTCCAACCCCCTTTGTTCCCCTGTGACCAGGTGCAGTCCACCTCTTCTGTTCCTCAGTTTCTTTGTGGTGCTTGACAGGTCTGGACCCAGACCACTTTGGCCCTACAGAGGACGACCGACCGCAACAAACGGCTCGCTGACCGTCACAGACGTCCTGTCCCTCCCTATGTTCCAGGTCAAAGGTCATGGTTGTCCACCCGGGACATCCGTCTGAAGGCCTTCTCTCCTAAACTCTCCCCACGCTTCATTGGTCCCTACAGTATTGCCTCGGTCCCTAGTCCCACCACGGTCCGTTTGACCCTACCTTCCTCCCTTAAGGTCCACCCAGTGTTTCATGTGTCTCTTGTTAAGCCTGTTGTTTCTAGTCCTCTGTGTCCCTCTCCTGCTCCGCCCCCTCCTGCTCCGCCCCCTCCTGCTCACTTCTTTGAAGGGGACCTCATCTACCCTGTCAGGAGGCTTCTCGATATTTGTCCTCGGGGTAGAGGTTGCCAGTACCTTGTGGACTGGGAAGGGTTTGGTCCCGAGGACAGGTCGTGGGTTCCCGGGTCCTTCATCACGGACCCTTCCCTCATCACCGAGTTTGCGGGAAACGAAAGGAAACAAAATGATTTCTGACATCTGTAGTGGGGTGTACTCATTTATGCTGAGCACCGTAAATTCACACCCTCCTCAGGAGAACATCAAGTGCTGCAGATGCCTGTTAATCACTCATTCATTTAAGTCAGGTGTGTGGCAGCAGGGAAACAATGGTGTTTGTGCGTGTTTGCATGTGTGTGTGTGTGTGCATGCGTGCATGTTTGTGTGTGTGAGGATGTATGCTTGTTTGTATGCATGTGTTTGAGACTGCGTGTGTGTGTGTGTGAGTGCATGCTTGCGTGTGTGTGTGTGTGTGTGTTGGTATGTGCATTTGTATTTGTGTGTGTGTGTGTGTGTGTGTGCATGTTTGTATGTGCGTGTGTATTTGTGTGTGTGTGTGTGTGCATGCATGCATGTTTGTAAGTGCATGTGTATTTGTGTGTGTGTGTATGCATGCGTGTTTGTAAGTGCATGTGTATTTGTGTGTGTATGTATGCGTGCATGTTTGTAAGTGCATGTGTATTTGTGTGTGTGTATGCGTGCATGTTTGTAAGTGCATGTGTATTTGTGTGTGTGTGTATGCGTGCATGTTTGTAAGTGCATGTGTATTTGTGTGTGTGTGTAGGCGTGCATGTTTGTAAGCGCGTGTGTATTTGTGTGTGTGTGTATGCATGCGTGTTTGTAAGTGCATGTGTATTTGTGTGTGTGTGCATGCATGCATGTTTGTAAGTGCATGTGTATTTGTGTGTGTGTGTATGCATGCGTGTTTGTAAGCGCGTGTGTATTTGTGTGTGTGTGTGTGTGTGTGTGTGTGCGTGCATGTGTATTTGTGTGTGTGCATGTGTGTGTGCATGCGTGTTTGTGTGTACATGAGTGTTTGGGTGTGTGTGCGTGCGTGTTTGTGCGTGTGTGTGTGTGTGTGTGTGTGTGTGTGTGTGTGTGTGTGTGTGTGTGTGTGTGTATGCACGTACCGGTCTACACATCAAAGTAAGGACCAAAACAAGTTTTTTACCTGCAAACTGAGGACATCAGTCGCAGAGTGAGAACATTTTGATGGTCCTCACTTTGGTTCAGTGTTACAGAGCTCTACTGGTCAGTTTCAGAGGTATGTTGAGAATTGAGTTTTTGTTAAGGTTAGATTTAGGCAAAATCCAGTCACTAATATGAATGGAAGTCAATGATGATCCTCACAACGAATGCTGGACTAAAGTATGTGTGTGTTTGTGTGCATGTTTGTGTGTGTGATCACTTACTTCTAACAATAACCCAATGAGATTTTTTGTGTAAACTTAGTTCATACTATTTCCCAGACACTAAGTGTGTTTTGTTCCAGCAGGTTTTTTTCACCTTTCATGAGTGATTCCAAATTTATGGATCTGTGTGTCCGGATGTCCTCCTGAAGTTCAACTCCGTGTGTCTGAAGTATGGTGGTTCTGGACACAGAGAGACTCAATGAGGACACAACTGAGGACAAGCAGAATCAATATAAAATTGTAACTGGGCAGAAAGACAATCAAATATTTTAGACGCCTTTCAGATATTGTGGTGCACACATGCACACACACCTCTCATTGAGCTCAGCAGCTAGTCGCTGACAGGTGTTAACCACACTTTGCTCAGATTCTTCTGCTTTTTCTCTCCTCTTCAGCTGTCTGATGATGTTATCATACTCTGACTTTATGATCAGCAGAAGTCTCTTAAAGGCTGTTGTTCGTCCAATCACCTGCCAGAAAAACACATAGTTGCAAAAACATTAATAAGTGTAAATATTAGTTCATTAAACTTTCCTGTAAATCAATTATTGGGTCGTTCAATTCAAATTAAATTCAACAACACGTCATTGATCCCAGAGGGAAATTAAATGTGATGCTTATTAATTTATATACTTATATTTTGGGAGGATGAGAACCACTTTAGATAAACCATCTTGTGGGTCCTCTACAGAAAAGTACAATGAGGATAAAAGATTAAGATAACATAAACAATGGTAATTAACGGTCTTTGAAGCCTTTAAACAGTTAATATTTGGTTAACCATAACCCCCCCCCCCCCCCCCCCCCCCCCCCATTTTTAAACTACCATGTAGGAATGTGTGGATCAATACTAAAATATCGGTACTTCGATTTTATCTATTTATGTTTTGGAATCTATACTCTTGTTAAAGTATTGATCCATCCATCCATCCATTTTCAGCCACTTATCCGGAGTCGGGTTACCGGGGCAGCAGCCTAGACTGAGACACCCAGTCTTCCCTCTCTCCAGCTACCTGGACCAGCTTTTCTGGGGGAATTCTAAGGCGTTCCCTGGCCAGCCGAGAAACATAGTGCCTCCAGTGTGTCCTGGGTCTTCCCTTGGGTCTCCTCCTAGTTGGACGTACCCGGAAAACCTCACCACGGAGGCGCCCAGGAAGCATCCTGACCAGATGCCCGAGCCACCTCAACTGGCTCCTCTCGACGTGGAGGAGCAGTGGGTCTACTCCAAGCCCCTACCGAATGACCGGGAGCCATTTCGGCTGCTTGTATCCACGATCTCGTTCTTTCGGTCACTACCCAGAGCTCATGACAATAGGTGAGGGTAGGAACGTAGATCGACTAGTAAATAGAGGGCTTTGCCTTCCGGCTCAGCTCTCACTTCACCACGACAGATCGGTACAGCGCCCACATCACTGCAGACGTAAAACCAATACGCCTATTGATCTCATCCTTCATTTTTCCCTCACTTGTGAACAAGACCCCGAGATATTTAAACTCCTCCACTTGAGGCAGGACCTTATCCCTGACCCGGAGAAGGTATTCTACCCTTTTCCGATTTAAGACCATGGTCTCGGATTTAGAGGAGCTGATTCTCATCCCAGTCGCTTCACACTCGCCTGCGAAGTGCTCCAACGAAAGCTCAAAATCACAGACCGATGAAGCCAACAGAACCACATCATCTGCAAAAAGCAGAGATCTGATCCTTAGGGTGGACCTTAAGGGAGGAACCTTCAACACCTTGACTGTGCCTAGAAATCCTGTCCATAAAAGTTATGAACAGAATCTGTGATAAAGGGCAGCCTTGGTGGAGTCCAACTCTCACCAGAAACTAGCTCAACTTACTGCTGGCTATGCGGACCAAGCTCTGACACCGGTCATACAGGGACCTAACAGCCCGTATCAAAGGGCCTGGTACCCCATACTCCTGGACCTGGAGTACCCCCCACAGGGTCCCCCAGGGATGCGGTCAAATGCCTTCTCCAAATCTGCAAAGCACATGTAGACTGGTTGGGCAAATTCCCACGCACCCTCCAGGATCCCCCTAAGGGTATAGAGCTGGTCCAGTGTTCCACGTCCAGGATGAAAACCACATTGTTTCTCTTGAATCTGAGGTTTGACAATCCGATGAACACTCCTCCCCAGAACCCCTGAATAAATCTTACCAGGGAGGCTCAGAAGTGTGATCCGTCTGTAGGTGGAACTCACTCTGTGATCCCCCTTTTTAGATAGGGGGACCACCACCCCAGTCTGCCAATACAGTGGAACTGGCCCTGATGTCCACACGATACTGCAAAGCCGCGTCACCCAACACAGCCCAACAACTTCCAGAGCCTTAAGGAACTCCGGGCGAATCTCATCCACCCCTAGGGTCTTGCTACTAAGGAGTTTTTGACCACCTCTGTGACCTCGGCCCCAGAGATTGGAGAGCATCCCAAATTGCCAGTGTCCACCAGCGGATTCGGGGGTTGCCACCATGACAGGCACAGACAACTCTGCGGCCGCAGCTCCGGGGCGACTCCAGAGAATTTTGATAAGGGTGGCCAGATGGGGGCATAGAAATTTTTGGGGTGGCACATCAAATTGGTCCTTGTGGTAACTGTGGGAGAGTTTAGCCTGTGGTGATGCACTGCATTGCTCCTTTATTTGTTATTATATAAAAAACTGTATGTTTCCAAAACACTTAACTCAAATTTTACAAACACAAACATTTCAGAAAAATACATTTCAATTATTTAAAATGTTATTTCCAAATTTATTTAAATGTTTTTTTGTTTGTTTGTTTGTTTAATCCATCTGTTGCTGTGTTTACAGAAAACTAAGAAAATAAAAACTTTTTTTTAATGGCGAGCAGCAGAAACATGTATTCTTTAATTCAGGTTATTTCTTTACTCATTAATTTTACAATTTTATTATGTTTTATATTTATGTCTTGAATAAATAAGATTAGTAAACATTATGATTTATTAACAACGGCTTTTACTGGGGGCCAGCAATTTTGGGCGCCATTGCCGCATGGCCAGCTGCCTCAACAATAGAAGCACGGAACATGGCCCACTCTGACTCAGTGTCTCCCGCTTTCCTTGGGACGTGTTCGAATTTCTGTCGTGGTAGGAATTGAAGCTCCTTCTGGCAGGAGAATTCATCAGACGATCCCAGCAGACCCTCACAATACGTTTGGGCCTGCCAGGTCTGACGGGCTTCCTCCCCCACCATCGAAGCCAACTCACCACCAGGCAGTGGTCAGTTGACAGCTCCTCCCCTCTCTTCAACCGAGTGTTCAAGACCTGCGACCGCAAATCAAATGAAACAACAACAAAGTCAATCATCGAACTGCGCCCTAAGGCATCCTGGTGTCAAGAGCACATATGGACACCTTTATGCTTGAACAAGGTGTTTGTTAAGGACAACCCATGACATGCACAGAGGTCCAATAACAAAACACCACTTCAGTTCAGATCGGGGGGGGGGGGGGCATTCCTCCCAGCCACACCTCTCCAGGTCTCACTGTCGTTGCCCACATGAGCGTTAAAGTCCCCCAGCAGAATGAGAGAGTCACTTGGAGGAGCGCCCAACAGCACCCCCTCCAAGGACTCCAAAAATGGTGGGTAGCCTGAGCTGCATTTTGGTGCATAAGCACAAACCACAGTCAGGTCCCCACATGAAGGCGGAGGGTGGCTACCCTTTTGTTCACCGGGGTAAACCCCAATGTACAAGCACCAAAATGGGGGGCAACAAGTATGCCGACCCCTTCTCGGTGCCTCTCAGAGGGAGCAACTCCAGAGTGGTAGAAAGTCCAACCTCTTTCAAGGCAACTGGTTCCAGAGCCAGAACCATGCGTTGAGGTGAGTCCAACTACATCTAGCCAGAACCTCTCAACCTCAACAACCAACTCTTTCCCCACAAGAGAGGTGACATTCCATGTACTAAGAGCTAGTTTTTGTAGTCGAGGATCAGACCGCCAGGCCCCTGTATGGTGGGCTCGTGGAAAGGGGGAACCATGTCTCCTCTTAGGGCTGTGCCCAGCCAGCCTCCAAGGGTAAAAGCACGGCCACCAGGCGATCGCCAACTCCAGGCCTGGCTCCATAGGGGACCCCCGTGATCCGCGTCCGGGTGAGGGAACACTGTTTCCATTTATCTTGTTCTTCATAACTTTCAGAGAATCCACAAATGTGGCTTTCAAATGGTTTTGTTACTTATTGCAAGTTTAGAAAAGAAGCAGATGAGACAGTATGCCTGATCATTTAATTTAAATTTTCATCTGATATTAGATATTAGAACATGTCAGTAATATCTGAGAGGCTTTTACAAACACTGTATAACTAATACTCCTGGACAGGGTATAGATTACACAGAGGCTTCTGTGAGTTATAGGGGAGGGGGGGGGGGTTACCCTGGCCCCCAAAATGCCTTGAAACGGCCCTGGGTGTGTGACTGAGTTTTGAAGGTGACCTGAATTGTATCAGATGTATAAATATTACATGTGTATAACTTATTGTTTTATACAGGTAAAAACACGGAGATAAATCTACCTACATTTTACTTTCCAACACTTTGTTTTGTTTTCTTGTTTTTATTTAGCTATTATCCTGTCCTGTCTTTCTCTCATCTTCCTGCATCTCCTCAAAAGTCTCCAGAAAAACGGGTGCCTGGATTATTACTTTTTCACCTGATCAGTTACTTTTGAGCAGATCAAAGGGATCTCCTGACCACAAAACAGAGTGTGTGTCATGTTGCATCAGTGAAGTGAAATCACCGCAGCACAGGTGATGAGCTCTGCAGTAGCAGAGCGCTTCTGCGGACATGAACGATGTTAATTATAGTTTTTTTTTTTGGTTGCGCCACTTTCAAAATGGACTGTGCGCTGGATGCAGCAGCCTGGAGCGCTGTGCACCAATGATCAGCGCTCTGCCGCTCTCTGTGCTCTCTGCTCAAAAGAAGCCCCAATACGCTGAGTGCATAAATGATGTACTGTAGGTAGAAAGGTTCTTTCCAGCTCTTCCTTGATGTGTAGGATATCCAGCTCCCCCATAATTCGATCGCTGCTCCTGGATGAAAAACCGGACATTTTCATCAATACAACCCCCACACACACACACACAGAGTGAAAAGTGGACATGTCAGGGGAAAAGACAACACATGGTCACCCTACTGTTCTTTAGACCAATTAAATAAGCTTTCTTTTCTTTTCTTTTTTTTAATAAATGAAAATCAATATAACAGTTTGGCATGAAATGTTGAACAGGTTAAACTGGACAAAAGATCTGTAGGAAAGCAAATACATTTTAAAGAAACCCCTGATCCATTACAGCTGCGGATCTAAGTCACTTTTCAGGTTAACCATGCTGTGGTACCTTGTTGAACGCGGAGCGGTAGACGATGTAACGGAGCTCGTTAGGTCCCTCTTCCGGACACTGCAGGTTCTTTTTCTCCTGATTAATAAACTCGTACAGTTTCTGAAGAAACGTTGTATCGCTTTCACTCATCATGGCATTCGGTGAGGAGTTTATTTCTTCATCTTGACAGAAATCCTTTAAATTGCACACACTTGTCCTCCGGTGGCTGTTTACTTGTATCACTATGGTTACCGTTACCGTTATGGAGGACACACTGACTGCAATGTCTTATTCAGATATCGGAGTAACGTTCTACTAATGCGTTTGCTTTAAAATATTATTTAAAATAACTTTTTTAATGAAACGGGTCTTATAAAACAACATCGGGTTACAAAAACAACTGTTTCTAAAGCATTCCGATCAGGCACAGCATAGGTCAGCTGTTCCGTGGAAAAGTCTGTAGAAAACCCCGTGGCTCCCATCGAAAGCCCTCTTCTCATGATCCGCCATTAGGAGTGAGCCGGTGGTGAGTAGCTCTCCGTGTTTTTAATCAGTTTTAGTGAAAACTAATCACATTTAATGAGAGTTTATACCCTGAGCGGAGAGTAGAATCTCGTATGCGTCTTTCCAACCAGGTGGACTGAACCCCAGGATGCAGATTTTCGTTAAAACCCTCACGGGGAAGACCATAACCCTCGAGGTAACTTAGATGGACGAATGCGGCCTTCACTGTTAGCTGTTAACACGAGTTTTGCTTATATTGGTGGTCAATCACATCAAGATGGCGTTTAAATCATGTTTTGTTTCGTTACATGTGTGTGCGTGTGCGAGGTGTTTTTGCCCACATTCAGAGTATTAAAACGAAGCTATGTGCTAACGCATCGTAAACACGTGTGCCAGCGGGTGTTTGCTGGACTTGCTCTATCCTCGTTAACGGTTATTGATTATGAAGTAAATGTGATCTAAATATTTGTCTCACCTCTCGGTTTACAGGTTGAGCCTTCAGATACTATAGAAAATGTCAAGGCAAAGATCCAGGACAAAGAGGGTGAGTTCGTCATGAAGGCTCGTTAGCTCTGCCACGAGAAGACTTGTTCTGTTTTTGACGTAATTGTCTGGCATGTCTCAGTATTATGGGCAAGTTGGCAATTCAAATGAGACGCCAGGCCCAAAGCTAACATGGCTACTGAATGAAAGACCGAGAACAGGGCCCGATGCATCATTTTCAGCTGACGGTTATTTTATTTTTTGGGGTGGTGTTCAGTTTGTCCTTTTTGGAAGTTGTGGCATTCATTCAGAACTTTTGGGATGATTTTGTTTAGAAATACAAGCCTGATCCTTGTTGGGGCAGATCCGTTTTCATGACTGTTCTGCTTTGTTGTGCAGGAATCCCTCCCGATCAGCAAAGGTTGATCTTCGCTGGCAAACAGCTTGAGGATGGGCGCACGCTGTCCGACTACAACATCCAGAAGGTGATGTGTTGTGCTTTTTTCATCTCAGACTTTTCGTTTCTGGATCCAGTTTGGGTGGTGTTGGTGATCGGTACCTTTGACATTTGAATCGTTACACTACCAATTCCCGGTACTTGGGGATCGATGATTTTTCTCTGTAGAACCATATTTGATAAATATTGCAATAAATCACATACAAATGTTTGTATTTTGTCATCGTAGTGTTGTACAAACGTCCTCAACATGAAAACCTTTAACTGTTAGAACCCAGCTCCATGTTCCCCTGTTCCTCTTCTATGCCCGCTAGAAAACAATAGAACTGATGAGGAGACTGTGCTCCAAAAGAAACTAAAACCAACATCTATACAACTGTTTGTGAAACACTACAATTTTCAAATACAAACCAAAACGCAGCTCCATGTACTCCGTTTCCTCTCCTTTCCCATCTGGACAAACTGTGTGATGGTGGGTCCTTGTTATCGAAATTTGACTTCTAATAGAATTTTTCCTGTGTCTATGAATTTGATTAAAAAAAGTGTTAGGTTGGCTTGGTTCATGTCCCTTTTAAGAAACTGTACCACTTTCTTTCTGGTTTCTGCGCATATCTGTAGTTGTCGTCCATTTATCGTTATTGAGGTGAAATCCTCAATATATCGTGATAATGATTTTTAGGCCATGGCAAACTAAATTTACTGTGTATCTTAATTCCTTTTGTCCTTTTTCAACAGTTGGTTTTCCCTTCTCAGAAGTCAGAATTTCTGAGTTTTTGTAATTTTGCAGCCGCTGCGCCACGCCTGAGCCTGCGTGAGGGACACTCTGGGTGTTAAATCCTAAAAGCTGATGCCTCAGACTACAAGGGGCTGAGCATAATGTGGAACTGTTCAAATTTATAAGAACCATTAAAAATATTTAATGAAGGGATTTATAAAACGTTACTCAGTCTAATTAAACTACGGCTTGGATTTTTTTTTTGTAGTGGTTGTCATATTTGAATTTGCAATCGTGTGTAAAGAGTCATATTCTCAAAGAATCAGGAAGCACTACTTAAACCCCCTAAATCCAAAGACTGTTTCCTGAGGATCATTAAACTAAAAAATAAATCAGATGCAAGGCATATTAAAAAAACGATAAAAACATTTTTATGGTAAACGTCTTGGGAAGAATCCAGGGCCTTCGTTAATCAACGGTACTTGCCAACACATCTGTGCGTATTTCATGTGTAGGAATGGGTTTTACGCATTGTGCATTTACCCGTTTGTACTTCTGATAGGAATGTTTCTAAATATTAAAACCATGCTACCAACAGCATCTAGTGGTAGAACAGTGGAACAGCAGCACTGAAGGTCTCTGTCTTCCACACGTGTTCCTCAGCGTTTTACGCAATAAATAATTATCGTAGGAACAGCTTTTGTGCGTAATTGATGCTAAACCCAATATCAGACATGTGACCAACAGGAATCTGACATTGTTGCACGACCGATCTGTGTTGGAGGATTTCATTGAGAGTTCACTCTAACCTCAGCTCCCTGATCATACATGTGTTGCCATGGTAACCATGCTGAATGACAGCTCAGAAGAGGGTGCACTCTCAGACGTTTCCATATAAAGCTAACTCCAAACAGAACTCAAATGTAAAAGTCAGAGCATTGCTCTAAGGTTTTTTTTTTTGTCTGACGAGAACCTCTGTGCCGACCGCGCTTACCTCTGACACTTTTTTTTTTTTTTTTTTTTCGCTCGTCAGCGGCCGGTGTCTCGATCTTGCTGTCAATTTTTTAGGGAAATACCCAGGAAGGAATATGGACAGTTTCTGCGGATGTTTGATAGATGAGGGCCCAGGTCTCAGGAGGTTTTAAACCAACTTGATGCTTCTGAGTTCTCTTTATGGGCTCGACACACGGGAGGCGACGAACGACCGCGATCAGCTAAATTTGTCGCTGTCGCTTTTATTACCTGACACACGAGAGGCGATCCGCGGCCAGCGGCAAAGCCGTCTACGTGTTCTGTTCCATGGCGAAATTGAAACTTCCGTTGTTTTGTTTGGCTGTGTCAGGTTGGAGGGAATTAAGGTTATTTAAGCGGTTCAGAGTTAATAAAGTGGTAGACATGATGTTTCACAAGATGCTGCTAGAGTTATTTGAAATCTTACGTTTGATTTTATTATAAAACATAATAATAATAAACTTCTCCATGTTTGCTCGGAGATGTACAGAGCATCCTGTCCGCTCATTGGTCAGTGAATGAAATCTCCGTTGATTGGTCCTCGTCCGAGCGACAGCGACGAAAAGTTGAAAATGTTTAAACTTTCTGGGATCGCGTCGCTGGGTCGCCTGTGCACGTCACGTGCACGAGTGCAAAATTTCACACGCACGTTTTTCGCGTTTCGCTTGGTAGGAGGGAGACCCACGATTATCGCTTTGTCGCGCTTGTCTCATTGAAAATGAATGGAGGAGAGGCGATGTCGCCTCCCGTGTGTCGAGCCCTTTATACCTGTCGCCCTTTGAAGCTCTGTTTGTTTGTGTGTGTGAAGCTTCGTGCTGCAGGTCTGTAACAAGCTCTTCATTTTTTTAGGAGTCAACTCTGCACTTGGTGCTGAGGCTGCGAGGAGGCGCCAAGAAAAGGAAGAAGAAGTCCTACACCACCCCGAAGAAGAACAAACACAAGAGGAAGAAGGTCAAGCTCGCTGTGCTCAAATACTACAAGGTGAATAAACCTCTGGAGGTTTCTGCTGCCACTGATTGTAGAGACAGTTCTTGTCGTTGTGTGTAACGAGATGTCTGTCTGCAGGTGGATGAAAATGGTAAAATCCACCGTTTGAGGCGTGAGTGTCCTGCTGACGAGTGTGGCGCCGGCGTCTTCATGGCGAGTCACTTCGACCGTCACTACTGCGGGAAGTGCTGCCTGACTTACTGTTTCAACAAACCCGAGGACAAATGAACATGACTGTAGGCCACAATAAAATCTAAGTGTTTTGACACAGCGGAGGCTCTGCCTGATGATTCAGACTGACACAAGTTCAGTTTAGCTTTATGTTCTAGAGGCCTTTACAAATACCCACATTCTGAATGTTGTAAAAATGAATGAGCTCAGAGTTTAAAGAACAATGTGGCACAATCAAAACAGCTGGTGGTCCTCAGATGGAAACTATGTTCTCTTTTTTTTTTTTCCCTAGATTAATTTTTATTTAAACATTTTAGTTAGGGCTGCACAATATCAGGAAAACCTGCAATATGTGATAACAGTGATAATTATTGCGATGACTATATTACTTGCGATGAATAAAAACTTGACTCTGGAACAAAATTAATCAAAAACAAACTTGGTTACAAAAATATAAAAATAACAGCAGAAGGTGTGAGGAAAGGGAAAAAGAAAATGAACAAGAAAAGGCAATCAGTGAATCCTGGGAAAAGCAGAAAGAGATGAACAAAGCTCCTCCCCTCAGGTGTTTGCTAACCATCAAAATTAAGTGTGGTCTGCCTCGGAGCGGGCATCTAACCTGAGACCCCACCTAACTGGCCAAATGGGTTAAGAGCTTTATTTGATTTTAAAAATCATGTTTCTGACATAATGCATTATGTGTAGCAAACATTTGAGCTGACCATTGCGATATGCATATTGTGCATGCTGAAATTGCAATGACGATATATTGTGCAGCCCTAATTTTAGTTTATTTAAAAATTGAATTCCAAAACAGCAAAATGTTTAAATTTGTAAAGGTTTATGGGATACTCCACCCAAACATATTTCCCAGAGTTGCAAAAAGTTTGGCTGGGCACCATTTCCCCTCATTCTCCTAGCTCGGCTGTACTCCTTCAGCTTAGTATGAAAACGTCATTGTGAGTAAAATAAAGCCCTTTAAGTAAATTTTATTTATATAGCACTTATCACAGAATCACAAAGTGCTTCACATAGATAAAAACAAAACCGTCATAAAATCATGATGTCAAACTGGAAATAGATTAACGTGAGAAAAAAGTCATAAAATTTCATAAACAGATAAAAGATTATTAATTTGAGTTAAAAAATAAAAAGATTTGGGTAAAAGCAGCTTTAAAAAGGGTCTAAAGCTGTTATTCAAAAGTGTCCACTGTCGATGGTAAGCAGTGTTGGGAAAGTTATTTTAAAAAGTAATTAGTTATAGTTGCTAATCAAAAAAGTAACTCGGTTACTGAGTTACGAAATTATAAAAGTAACAAGAAAAATAATTTTTCATTAAAGAATGCAAGAAAATGGATTAATTGAACTTAATTTACTATAATTTACTACAATAATGAAATATAAATGACTAATGACTGGAACATAATAAAATGTATGTCAAAATGTTTTTTATGAACCTGAATAATTTAAATAAATAAGCACTTAACAGGAGGAACTAACAGGAGCATTATACTTATCTAGACTATTAAAAGGTCACTGTGTGATATGTAACAAGACCCCAATCAGCTAAAATTTTCAATTGCAAATAGAAACACCTGTAAAGGTTCCTGAGCCTTTAAATGGTCTCTCAGTCTAGTTAAATTACAGAAATGAATGTAATTTTGCACAGTATTTTAATTTTTCCAGCTTCACATAATTGTTATTAGTAGCATTTCTGTTGCTGCTAATCTAGTAATGGTTAAATAAAATCCTTTAAAATGACACTAGAAGAGGCACAAACCTGATGGAGGACTTACTAACTTGGGTCAGACCTAGAGCCCTGCACTGAAGCCCTAAAGGCCCTCGGGTCGGTGTAGAACTGCCACTGTTACAAGCACAGAGAGCTGCATCAGATTCAGATCAGCGGAATCTTCCCGCATGCGCTCTGGTTCTGCGATGCGCTCCAAGCCCCTCTCCACATCTTCAGCTCGCTGTGTACCTTAGTACACGCTGACAGCGAGCTGCGCTGAGCAGTGTCCAGCTCAGATGTTCAATGGGAATCTTTTCTTGAGTGATTTGGCAACATCTGCGATGTGCGTAGAATAAAATGTCAGTTTGTCTGCATGCGTCGGGGTAATTCTTGCTATTCTTTCTCCGTCAAAATAAACGGTCAAATACGGGAACTATCCAGTCAACACGAGCCCTGCTTTTAACTGTTCTGTTTTCTTGTAAAAATTGTTGGAAAGAGATAAAATTGAACTTGACGGCGCACTGGCTGTGGTGGTAATCATCTCCGTGACGGTAAATGAGGGGAAAACAAATTGATCGGATCCTGCACGTCTTTTGACACATTGATCAGGATTGACACACTTTGTTTTCATTTAGTTGGTTAAAAAAATGTCGGGCTCAGGTCGGGCCAGAGAATCCTGAAAACCTTTTCGGACCGGGTAGGGCTGGGGCTCCACCCCCTCGGGCCGGGCCGGACACGGGCTCAGATTTTAGGCACGTGCAGGGCTCTACCGCTGATCGGGGTAGGTTTTCCTACGCTGAGCCGCTGCTGCCATTCTCTCACTTGCCCCTTGAAAGGCAAACTGTAGCCGGCTCTGATGTTCCTGGACCCAGTTTTGGACATGGCCTCCCACTGGGTCCTGGACACGACCAAGCAGGAAGTCCACCGGTAGCCTTGGCTCCTGTCCAAACAGAAGAAAAAAAGGAGATTCCCCTGTGGCCTGATGGGGAGTGGTGTTATATGAGAATAGCAGCTGTGGCAAGTAGGAACTCCAGTCTCGTTTATGAGAGATGGGTAAAGTGCGAAGCAAGTTATGGAGTGTTCTATTAAACCGCTCACACTGTCCCTTACCTGATGGATGGTATGGAGTGGTTCGGGACTTCTTGATCCCATACAAAGCACACAGCTGCTGAATGAGAGTGCTCTCGAAGTTTCGGCCTTGGTCTGAGTGTATACGTGCTGGAACGCCAACCTTCAAGAACCACTCAGTCACCAACACCTGTGCCACAGTAGAAGCCCGCTGGTCTTTGGTAGGGACAGCCAGTGTATATTTGCTGAAGACATCTGTCATCACCAGGACGTTCTCACACCCATCACCAGAGGGCTCCAGCACAGTGTAATCTAGGGCCCAAACCTCGTTTGGCCGAGAGGCCAACAAATGTCCCATGTAGGTCTGCGGCCCCCGCTGGGTATCCTTGGCAACCTGACATCTCTCACACTTACTGCACCACTGCTCCACATCACCAGTCATGTTAGGCCAGTAGCATCGGTGTCTGAGCAGCTGCAGTGTCCTCTCAACCCCTTGGTGGCCATGCTTCTGATGAAGTTCAGTAAGCACTTCCTCCCTCAGGGTGGCAGGCAACACTACCTGCAACACCCTCTCAGCCTCCCAGGGGAGCCCGATCTGCCGGTACAGGACCCCATCCTTCTCCACCAACCGGTCCCACTGCTTGAGGAGGGCCAATGCAGCCGGAGACAACTGGAGTCTTTCCTCACAGGTGGGATGTCCCTTTGGCTGACTGGTTAGAGCTTATGACTCTCACCCGGGAGTCTGGGGATCGAATCCCGCCCGGGCTCTCGTTTCTCCACCTTGCCACATTAAGAATTCCAGTGGTTCTGCATGGAACACCTACGCTTACCTGGCGGCATTCCTGCAAGGCAGACATTACAGGCTCTAGGGCTTTTAATAGCAGCGGCAAGCTGAACAATGCCGAACCATGCTCATCGATTAACTCCCGGTAGCATCTGCTAATTACATTCATCACCAGGACTCCAGATGGAACAGGAAACTCCTCTCCTGGGACATCTTTCACGACCAAAATGCCACACTCAGTCATTTCTTTCCCACACAGCTCAACTTCTAGTTCCAAATAGATGTAAGGGATGGCCAACCCATTAGCCGCTCTCAGCTGTAGCCAGTGACACGAGTGGAGTTTCTCCACTCCCCAAGGCTCGAATTGCTGATGGAAACAGCTCTCTGAAATCGTGGATACCATTGAACCCGTATCCAACAGACAGGCCACCTGCACCCCTCCCATGTTCAGGTCCACATAAGGACAAGGTGACATTAATTTTACAGCCTCACAAGACACTGAGTTCGACTCTGAGCCAGCTGTGGCACCCCCCGAACCTTGGCTCTGCAGCCCGGCGGGTGTCAGTTTTCCGACGGTGTAGTGCTGTGGGATTGCTGCTCTAATTTTCTAGACTGTGTACCAGGGTGAGGTGGAACAGGAACCCCATCAAACTCACTAGCAAAATGGCCAGGTTGTTGACAACGTCTGCAAATGACGGGGCCCCGTCTAGGGGCAGATTACCTCGTCTGAGCTGTTGTAATACTAGGAGACTCTCAGTCAATTTATTTAGCTGTTCCTGCTGTAATTTCAACAATTCCCTCATCTCCGATAACTCAGACTTCTCAAGGTGGCCTGTTGCTACCTGAGAACATGTCGTCCCAAACTGTGAACCAACCGATGGCACTGAATAACTCCTACTCCTAATAGTTCCAGCTCCTTCACGTTCCCACCTAAAGGCCTCAGCCCGAACATCCAGCAGGTTAGCTGCAGGTTTCCCACGCACAAATTGCTTGAGCTCACGGCGCAACAATCCATCATTCACATGTTCTATAAACTGGTCACGGAGAAGTACTTCAGCATTTAACATTTCTACAGGGGCTTGCTGCTTTACAGCTGCCATCAAACTCATTAAGGCTAAAGAAAACTCCTGAAGAGTTTCACCCTCTTGTTGCCGTCAAGAAAAAAAATGCCTCCTGTAAGGCGACATAAGATTCTGAACAACCATACAGTTCTTGTAACGCAGTGATTACCTGAGCGGGGTCTTCCCTCTGTACCCTTGGATGGAATTTTATTTCCTCGCGTGCTTCCCCCTCTAGGTGATCAAACAAGAACAACGCTTGTTCCACTCTGGATAATTGGCAAATCCTCATACAGGCCTGCACCTCCTCCAGCCACTCAGTCAGGCCTATACCCCTAGTTCCCCTAAAGAAAGGACATTTCCTGTCTCGAGGGATAAACACTATTCGCTCTCCTTGCACCCAGTTTGCATCAGGAAGAGCGGAACCTGTTGAAGTGGAAGGTCCGGCATCGGAGTCAGGTCTAGAAACGCATTCTTGTCGTAATTTATCATTTTCAATTTTTAATTGCACAATTTTATCTCTCAACTCCTGTAATTCTGCCTCCATTTTGTAACCCAGAAGAGAGAGGCAAAATTATACTGGTTGTCCCCGAGGTGTTGTGGAACTGCTTGACCTATCAAAAAAAGAGAGAAGGAAAATACAATCAAACAAACAAATAGAAAGACAAAGAAAAAAAAAATATATGGGCTAGGCCATCAAATATATATATATATATATATACATATATATATATATATATGTATATATATATATATATATGTATATATATATATATATATATATATATATATATATATATATATATATTTAAAGTTTCCGTCAAACACATGTTCCTGCCAACAATGCCAAATGTGGCAAGGTGGAGAGACGAGGGCCCGGGCGGGATTCGATCCTAACCCCGGGTTTCCACGGGAGCCGTCAGCAGTACGTTACTGCAGCAGCATGTCTTGCTTGCGTAAGCTGCTGCTTGGCCCTTCCCACGAGACGCGAAGCAGCAGGGGAGCAGCTGTCACCGACAGAGCACGAAGTCACACGAGTGACTTCGTCAGTAAACACAACAACAAGCAGGAGAAAACTACAACATGGTTTGTGTTTTATGTTCTGTCTGTTTTATAATCGCCAATACGGACCTGAAAAACAAAGGAGACCGCTAGCTGTGTGATAACTTCTCACGGGGACGCACAGTTAGTAACCTTTTTTAAAAGTAAAGCAACCGGAAAGCAGTACGTTCTTTATTCTGAAAATCTCGGTAGCTTCTCTCCATTTCCGTGTCCGATTTCCTGTCTCTCATTCCCCAAAAATGTTGAACTTGACCCGTTTCAGAGGCGTCGCGCGTAGAAAATAGAACCGGCGCGTAAAGGCCGCGACATGCTGCTCCTGAGACGCGGCCGACTCGCGCTGCTGACGGCTCCAGTGGAAAAGGTTCTGTTGACCACAGCGGTTCCTATCAGCAGCTATGACGTGCTGCTGCAGTAACGTGCTGCTGACGGCTCCTGTGGAAAGCCGGGGTTAGACTCCCGGGTGAGAGTCATACGCACTAACCAGTCAGCCAAAAGGACATCCCCTTGGCCAAATAGCCAGGGCGCATGATCAATCGTGCCACTCTGACAGGACGCTCACACTGCCACATCAGTAACGGATATGATTTAAAATGTAGCGAATTACAATTCTTTTTTAAAAACTTACTCAAGTAAAAGTAAAAGTACAGCTTTTAAAAACGACTTAAAAAGTATAAATATACAAAAAAAGCTACACAATTACAGTAATGTGAGTAAATGTAATTCGTTACTTTCCACCTCTGCTGTGCACTCACCCTCAGCTAGAGAACGGTAAGCTGTCCGAAGTAAGATGGCCGCCGCTTTCGGAGACCCATGAGCCGACCGGAAAGGGAGGAGACTTAGGTAAAGAAGAAGAAAAACTTCCGGTGTAGGACCGCTAACAGAATTAGCTTGTTGTTGTTTTGCTGTGTCAGGTCAATGTTTGAGCCTCTGTGTTAAAAATGTATTCAGTTCAGTCTCTGAGAGAGTTTATCCACGAGCGACTAGCAGCTGCAGCTGAAGAAATATTCACACAGTTTGAAAAAAACATCGTCCGGTACGACGAAGAGATCAATCGTCAGCGCAGACTGCTGGAAATCTGCTGGCAACCACACATCAATTTACACAGAATAGGTATGAAACACCAGCGGGACTGATGTGGGTTTACTGGGGAGATCTGTTTGTTTCTGAAAGGCTTCGTTTATTTATATATTTTTTTCACAGTTGTGTTCTGTTATTGTAGAAAGGTCCTCTCCAGTTAGCGGACCTTAATTTCCTGGTATTTCCAGGAGAGGAAGACGGTAACACTCAGTTCCTGATACACTTCCACCAATAACCATTATTCATTAGGTTATTTTAAACTGGTTTATTTAGAAAAACTTTGAAAAAAAGGTACAAACGAGACAATGTGACCCTCTGTAGCCACTCATGGTCATCAGTCAAAGGCCTCGAATGCTCCGAGACATTAGTTTTTTATCCTTAGCTTGGCCCTCCCTCTTTGGTGACATGGTGGATCAGTACATGGAAATGTGTTAAGATCCGTGTGTGTAACGACTCTTATCCCATTATGAACAAGATGTGAGAATCATGGGTGTTGCAGAATCTAGTCTGATTGGGTAAGAATGAACACTCCAGCTTACTTTGTGTACAGGTAAATAATGGAAACATGATGTAAGCCATGTTGACTGCTGTCAGGGGTCGCGTTAACTGGGTGTTTTCCGTATTTGATTGTTTATATTGATGGGACATTTTTCAGGGCTGATGGTCATTTTGGCAGACTGGAATTAGCCTGACGCATGCAGATGTGCAGATATTTTAAACGTTATGCACAGAGAACACTGCAGAGGTAACAAAATCAGTCAAGAAAAGATTCCTTTCACAACTTCTGAGCATTCTCTCAGACCTGGGCACCATAGTGGAGCTGTGGAGAGCAGCTCGGAGCACGTCTGTGGGTCGCAGGCCAGTAGCAGAACTGGAACACGGCAGGTAAAATGATCCTACTTCAAGTGAAATCGTTTATTTGTAACATTAATGTGTTGTTGGACACGCTGGTCAGCTTGTTTAGACCAGTTTTTCCCTACATAGGGTCAGGCGTGAAACTGCGCCACAGACGCCTCTGTCGCCTATTTTCTGCTCGATAGATAAGCTAGAGTTAGGCATTTTATTTGGAGAAATTGCTTTCAGGTTACTGCTAGAAGAAGTTAGCTGCAAAGCTGGCAGATACTTGTAAAGAGAGCGTGCACTAGGATATCCGGGCATTCTCATGCACATTTTTTCAAAACATTGGGAGGGTGTTTCTTTTTGGAAATTCAGAAACATCCTACGTCGTACCTTTAATGTCCATCCAGAAATGAAAACCTGGCACAGTGCCTGTGTTGGTGGAGTCATGATTTTGGGTGCTTACTTTTTATTTTTACTTGAATTTAAATACGTTGAAGTACTGCTATGCTTATTCAATATTTTTTTAGCAGTGTTACAAACCCTAGGTGTTAGGCGTTGTGGTGGAGGGGTAACATAATAACTGGAGTGAAGAAAAAGGGAGGAGTATAAATAAAAATGTGTTTTATTACCAGAATTAAACCCAAATACTCAGTCCTAGACTGGGAGAAAGAAAATGACTAAGCACAACAAACACTAATAAAACAAAAGGCGACGAAAGGAAAATCAAAACACCTAAGGCAAAAGGCCTCAGGGAAAAAGACACGAGAATAATCTAACAAACAAAAGTGCTGGAGTTGACTAACTAGAAAAACAACAAATCTCTACGGCTATTTACTTTATAGTTTTAATCTAAAGGACAAACGAAAAGCGAGCTCCACAGCTGAAAAAAGGTCTAACGAAAATTCAAGCTGAAGAGCAGACAAATGGATCTCAAAACGAAAACAGCTAATAATTACTCGAGGATTAACACAAAAGAACTATCTATCTTTGTCTCTATAGTCAAAGTTCTTATCCAACTCTAAACCGCAAGTTAACAAAGATCCAACCGAGGAGAGAAAGACAGGGAGTTAAGCTGCGATTCTCTCCCAGAGAAGTGAAATCTGCCATCTTTTAAACCATCAGCGCTCATTAGAAGATTGCTTGCAGCTGGGGTGCCGAAGACGGGCAAGAGGAGGAAACCAGTCCACCGGAGGACCTGTCCAAGGTCCTGAACAGCAAAGGAAAGAGCAGACTTGGGCCTTCAGGGAGCGGGAGCCCAGGATCCGTAACAAGCAGTGATGAAACGTCTGAGCTCCATTTATTTCCTCTGAGGCCGTAGAGATCTATGTTGTCAATTGTAAACAATTTCTGAAAATACCGATCTAGGGCTGCCGCAAACAACTATTTTAATAGTCGACTAATCGTGTCATTCATAAAAGATTAGCTTATTGCACCAGGATGCTCTTAATATACCATCATTAGCTTCTAGTCTGAAGTGTGATCAGCTATGTGCCATCTAATAATAAAGACAAGATGAAAGCTTATCAGACAACTTTAATTAACTTTGTAACCTGTTAATACAAATGCTACAGTTGGAGGTAGGCACCTAAAACTTAGGCACCAAGACCTTTCATGTTTAGCATGTCTTAAAAAACAATCAGTATACAACAAAACCATTTGATTGTGGTTCTTTTTTTAGTTTAGTTTTTGATCGTTGCCCTAGACACCCCCTCAGAGATTATAACGACATGTATTAGAGCATTAGAAGTTACTTGCCACCTGGCGCCTCCGTCTTTGTCTCAACAGTAGAAAGTTATGCCTCGTGTCCGATATTAATTTCAGAAAGTGTCGTTGCTTTTCAGCTGCCCTCCTCCTCGATGCGCACAGCATAGCTCTAAACGCTATCGTGATGTGGGTGTAAAGAATATACCAAACACCAAGAACAGAAAGAATGCGCTGCTGACTGGACTCCATTGTTGTTGTGTTTTGGCGCATTCTCGTCACGCTTTGTGAAGCATTACGCTACCCCGCCTGGCAACTGGAGCCTTTAATGCGATAGAAACGCTTGCCAGAAAACTTCTAGACCCATACTGGAACATACCTGTCCATAATACCCAGACCAGGCGATGGAATAGAGCTATAATGGACCCCCCCCCCCGACACGTCAGATTGTCGTTTTAAATGAGAATGAGTTCTCAATTGACTCATTTGGTTAACTAAAGGTTTACAAAAATTTATTCTCGTTTGGGTAAAAACTTTTTGATTGACATCTTATCTCAAGCTGCTGAAGTAAAATCTTATATCAGTTGTTAGCTGATTGGTCTAAAATAACACCCCATGTTCCCACACGTGTAACTAAACCTTCTGTGGAACAGTATATTGTTGAATGATGCATCAAATAGACAATAAATGGACCCTTTGTGGTCTGCTTCTGCAGACCGATAAAGGACGGTTCTAATTGCAGTATGTCAGGTCCACAAAACATATAACCCTCACCTGTCCGAATATATCATCCATCATCATTTCTTGAAGTGACAAAAATTGGTTGGAAAGATTTGACATATTTGCCTGTTTTCATGTCTGAAGTAAAACTGTTTGTGCTTATTAGTCGGTTTAATGGTTTATTATTTTCCAAAACATCTTTAGATGCATCAGATGATCATATAAAATTGTCACATTATTTTGTTCTGTTTGTATTCCCAGATGTCAGGAAAGATGAGAAGGTTCTGACTGACCAACAGCTCTATAGCCAAGAGAGGACCTCCTGTTTGGACCAGGTAGAGCCAGAACCTTTACAGGAGGGACCAGAACCTCCAAAGTTGAAAGTGGAGCAGGATGACCCAGAACATTTACAGATTCTAGAAGAGGAGCTCTGCATCAGTCAGGATGAAGAGCAATTTGTACTGAAGCTGGAGAACGTCACCTCCCTTGCGACTGCTGCTGCTGAGGGAAGTGACCACAATGAACCAGAATCAAACAGCGACCAGCTTCTTTATTGGTTTCCTGAGGCTGAGATCCAAAACCAAGAGGGAAGAACTCACAACTTCAGTGAGTCGAGTTTAACGGGTGAAAACTGGATTTGTGTAAACCTTCTCTTCTTTGCTAGCAGAGCAAAACTGGAGTTCGTTATTTTCCAAAACAACTTTAGATGTTTCAGACGGATGAATAAATGTGTTTTCTTATTGTCAGATGAATCATCCTTTTCTTTTCTCAGCTTTTCCAGAACTCCCACAGCATCATGTCTGGGAAAAGGAGGAGGTTCTGAGTGACCAGCAGCTCTGTAGCCTGGAGACAACCTTCAGTTTGGACCAGACGGAACCAGACTCCATGTTGACGAATGAGGAACAGCAAGAACACTGCATCAGCCAGCAGGAAGGGCAGTTAATCCTGGAGCAGGAAAATGTAACTTCTCCTTCTGAAGAGTCAAACTGCCATGAACCAGAACCAAACGGGAACCAACCTGTATGTCAGATTTCACCTGGAGCTGAGAACCAAGATCAGGAGGGACGCAGGAATGAAAGCTCAGAATCAAACAGCAATAAAAAACGGACACAAAATAAAACATGTAAACAAAATGAAGATCACATAAACAGCGTAGACAGTCCCAAACTCAAAAGGAAAACTCAGAGTGGCACGGGGTTGTTCCCATGTAAAGTCTGTGGGATGAGTTTTCCTCGGGGTACCAAGTTGACTCTTCACATGAGAACTCACAAATCTGAGAAGTCAAGTCCATGTGAAACCTGTGGTAAATGTTTCCATAACTTGGCTGTTCACATGAGAACTCACACAGGTGAGAAGCCTTTTCCGTGTACCATCTGCAAAAAAACGTTCTCTCACAGAGGTGATTTGACCATTCACATGAGGTCTCACACAGGTGAGAAGCCATATCGATGTGAAACGTGTGGTAAATGTTTCTCCAAGAGTAGTAACTTGACCATTCACATGAGAACTCACACAGGTGAGAAGCCTTATTCATGTAAACTCTGCAGACAACGTTACCCTCGGAGCAGCCAGTTGACTTTGCACATGAGATCTCACACAGTTGAGAAGCCGTATTGTTGTGAAACGTGTGGTAGATGTTTCTCCCAGAGTGGTAGGTTGATTACACACATGAGAACTCACACGGTTGAGAAGCCCTATTCATGTGAAGCTTGTGGTAAAGGTTTCTCTCGAATTAGTATATTGGCTGTGCACATGAGAACGCACACAGGTGAGAAGCCTTTTACATGTGAAACCTGTGGTAAAGGTTTCTCTCGGAGCACTCAACTGGCTGATCATGTGCGAACTCACACGGGTGAGAAGCCGTATCCATGTGAAACTTGTGGCAAATATTTCTCTCAGAGAAGTAACCTGGCTACCCACATGAAAACTCAACACACCTGAGACCTGATCTCCATGTTTGAGCTATAGGAGATTCAGCCTTCATTAACTTTTCATATCAGAATTTACATTTGAGAATTTATTCATTAAAATGTTTTTAATATTTTTCCTAGCAATGAAATTCAACTCCGTACGTGAGAACTCCCAGTTCAGAAGCTGTAAATGTTGAACATTCTCAGACATTGTAAAGGAATAAAAATCCCAGTTCAGAAGATGTCAGTGGTTTATCTGTATTAGATGTCATTATTAAAGTGTAACGGCGCACACATACCCATTAGGGGTGTACTGATACATGTATTGAAATTCAGATTTTTGAGAACGGAAAGATCAATACGACGCAAAGGTGTACTGAGTTCTCACATGCAACCATGTTGCTTTCAAACAAGCAGCGGTGTCTAAATTCAGGGACTGCATTCTTTGAAGACCTTGTCTATAGAGCCTGGTTTTGGTTAAATACACAAGATCCTTCTGACCAGGAAGATATGAAGTGAATAGTTAAGAAATTTGATGGTCTAGGGCTAGGCCATCAAATTTATTTCTGCCCTTTCCTCGGCATATGTCTCGTTGCCTAGCAACTGCAACAGAGCTAAAAGAGCTTTTTGCCGGGTTTGAGCTTGACAGAGCCTCCCGTTTCCACTTATGTTCCCAGGTGTGTGTGCGTGATGTTTGAGAGCTCACGATCGCCGAGTTATCGGATTCAACCAGTGTGACAACAAGCATATTAAGTTGAGTTCTTATTATGGTTAATCTTTACATTAAAACCAAGCTCACCATTGTTTTTCTTGTGAAATTCCCAATAAGTTTGATGTGTCACATGACCCTCTTCTCATTGAAAAAACAAAAGTTGGAACCAAGATGGCCGACTTCTAAATGGCCACCATGGTCACCACCCATCTTGAAAAATTTGCCCCCTCACATATACTAATGTGCCACAAACGGGACGTTAATATCGCCAACCATTCCCATTTTATTAAGGCATATCCATATAAATGGCCCACCCTGTATAACACTATGAAAACGTTAAATAATATTAACAATTAAATAATAAATTTAAAAATTTTAAAAAGACAGTGCTGCCTCGCACTCAATAACATTTTATTGTTGGCAAGTAACACAAGTTGGTTCACTTTATGTGGCCTTAAGGCAGCCCTGGTGCATGCTACAATGTTACCCCAAAGCTGAAAATCCGTTCAGAGCGGGAGCTGGTGGCTGGGATTAACAAGTACTTTTTTGCAAGAAGGCTAAGCCTTGGAAACTTCCACCACAGATTTTAGGTCTGCATCTGGTGACATCGAGTACCTCTCCAACTCATTTTATACTGTTTCCTTTTCGGTGAGATGTGATGTGGCAGCAGAGGCAGCACTGTTTCTTGAAGAAGCTTCCCAATGATTTCTGCTGCTTCTTTTCCGATGGAGTATGTTCTGAATCTGCAGTGGAATCTGTAGCTGCTGTTCTTCCACCTGTCACAAAGTGGACAATTTTGGATTTGGTTTAAGCTACATGATTTGGGTTTTATTATTGTTGACATGCTTATTTTGTGTTTTGAATGGTCTTTCCCTTTGTGGTACCTCCCAGAGACACTAATTTGAACTAATGGAAAAGGTGTGGCATGTCCACAGGTGCAATGGACTCATAAAATGAGATATAAAAGGAAAGAGTCCAGGAGAGTGGGGCGGAAGAAGGAGATATGGGTGTTTGGGAGAATTTGATGTATGTATGTATGTATGTATGTATGTATGTATGTATGTATGTATGTATGTATGTATATATATATCTTCTCCCTCATCATCGGCATTAGTTCACATTTATACCAGCAACACCTGAGGAATGAAGATATAAACTCACACATTACTGCTGATAAATAATTCCTACTAATGCATCAGACTCTGCTCAGAAGTTCCTGTCTAACCATTTTAGCTGCTGCAGCTGATTTGCATCAATGTAAATTTAAAACTAAATCAAACAGGTCTTTTCAGAGAGGGGTTGAAATAGAGGATAGAATGGCCTGTGCCAGGGCTCCTGGGACTGATGAAAGCCAAAAAACAAAATTTTGTACTTTTTACAGGCTCAAAGCACAGTTTTGTTGCTGATGAACTGCATTCTTTGTCCTCTTTAACCATCTGGAGGTAGGCGTTGCTTATTAGCAACGTTAAAACATACCTACCTGGTTACTCCACATACGTATTTCATGAGCATTTTTTAAACTCAGAAGTACCCCTGAAGGCCTTATTTGTTCGTCCTTTTATCAAAACTTATTTTGAGCCTGAGTGGGTTAACTGCTTGGTCAAACATGTTAGTGGGGCTGCATGAGAAACTTGAGCAGACACCCCGCTTCCCCTGTTTCCTGCCTGGGAACAGTTGCTAGAGCATGCGACTGGCTGTTCCCGTTTCCCGGGGCAGCCGGACGCGCGGACCGGTGGCTTCGATGCGAGGCTGTAGTTACACTGGTCACTTGTGGATCTATGAGGGAGACCACAGAAATATCACAGCTCTTTTAGTTGACGCAGCTTCACTTTTTAGTCTCTCAACTGCATCCTGGGAGTGTCAACTAAGCTCCCGGCTCTGTGTTGACACATCACTAGTAGCTGAGTCAACGCTCCTAGAGTCGGGTGTGTCGTCAACGGCGGACTTGCAGATCTTTGACCGTGGTGAATCAGCAAAAATATCCTGATATCCTCAGTCAGCTTACCTAGTTATTATTTTACTAAGCAGGCCAGAGGTTCCTTCACTTTGGAGTCGCTATACCGAGTTTTTCTTGCTAAAAAAAACTCTGTTAGCTTTGGGTTAGCATATAGCTAATGTCCCTGATCTCCAACTGTGGAGCATGAGCTGATGTAAAAGACCACTGCGCCCGGCTACAATTGCAGTGGTCTGAGGCTCTGCTTGTAATTTAACAGTTCCAGTCCATATTAGATCTCCTCAGACGAGCAGCATGACTACCGCCTCGCACAGAAACCAGTCGGCCATGCGGGTGGACTACCCTGGTCCCCAGAGCCCTTCTTGGGGTAGCTGAGGTTGGTTAGTAGCTACATTTGTTCCAACACTGTTCCAAATGTAACAGCCCCACTCTTAGCTCCACCTCTTTTTCCATTTTTGATTGGTCTGGGCGTGACAGGTGTGAGGACATGTGTGACACAGATAAAAAATCAGTGGAGGGTATCTCCCATTATTGGCTTCAACCTGCCCCCCACCGAACAATGGGTGAGTTATGTCCATATATGTTGATGATATGATCAGGGAGTAGAGGAGGTTCTGGGGGCTCCTTGTTGTTGTAAAATATAATATGGACTGGTACAGGATTCAGGCAGTTAGGCTACGTTCACACTACAGGCAAAAGCGCATTAAATCCGCTTTTTCCCCCCACATGCGAGCCATATCTGACTTTTTTTTTATGACAGTCTGAACGCACAGATCCGATTTTTTCAAATGTGATCCGTGTCACTTGAATATGTGGTACTAATTCCGACACATATCTGATGTTTTTGAAAGCGACTGAAGTCTGAACGGTCATGTCGCATTAAATCAGTCTCCTACGTCACTGAGTCAGTGGAGGTGAGCGCCGTGTGTGGAGGAGAAGCGCTGACAGAAGGGTTCAGGAGTCTGTCTGGACTTCCTGTTTTAAGTTTAGGAATTAAAAATACAAGAAAGAGCGTCAACAGGAGCTGGAAGTGCTGCTGGAGCTAAGCGTCTCACCGGTCTCAGTCTCCATGAAGGAAGGAAGGGTGTGTGTGTGTGTGTGTGTGTGTGTGTGTGTGTGTGTGTGTGTGTGTGCTCCGTGAAAGTGGAATTCTCCGTGAATTAATTAATACTAGAACATTTTCGGTAAATAACAATTCAGGGAGATGACGGGAACAAGGAGTACAATAGTTTACAGTTTTTAAAACAGTTTCCAGGCCAAAACGGAAGAATTAACAGGTGTGAAAGTTTTCACTGATAGTTTATCCACAGCATCAGGATTACATCACAACTCCGCTGCTCCTGGTTTCAGCTTCACTGAGTGTAGCTTCTTATCTTCTGCACATCACAAGGCACTTCACAAATGTAAACCTGTGTTTTTTTTTCTGTATAAATGGTTGCTTTATTCACGTAAAACACTTTGTGCTGATTTTATTATGACATCCATCAACCCATCTACCGGTATTTTATTTTACTTGTTCGGGTTTGGGTCACGGGGCAGTATCATAAGCAGGGAGGCACAGACTTTCCTCTCCCCACCGACTTGAGCCAGCTCCTCCAGGGGAATCCTAAGGTGTTTCCTGGCCAGCTGAAAAAACATAGTCCCTCCAGCGTTTCCTTTAGGTCTCCTCTCGGTTGGACGTTCCTGAAAAACCTCACCAGAGAGGCATTCCAACTAGATGCCTGAACCACCTCAACTGGCTCCTCTCAATGTGATGGAGCAGCGGATCTACTCCGAGCCCTTCCAGATGACCAAGCTTCTCACCCTATCTCTAAGGGAGAGCCAAGTAACCCTGCGGAGAAAGCTCATTTCGGCCGCTTGTAGCTCTTGGTTTATTATAAAAAGTGCTCTACAAAATTTGATTTGATTTGCAGATAGACTTGCAATGAAATACCAGCTCAGTGGCCGAGTGGTCCGCCCTGAGACTGGGAGATCATGAGTTCAAATCCACCGATAGGTCATGCCAAAGACTTAAAAAATGGGACCCAATGCCTCACCACTTGACACTGAGCCTTAATGGGTTTGATTGGGAGGTGAAACCACCAAATGGTTCCAGTTGTGTCTGCATCTTCTCTTTTACGCTCTTCCTTCTTCCATCTCAGGAACATTGCTAAGCTGAGTCCCATTCTGTCCCGCTCTGAACTTGAGACAGTTCTCCACACCTTCATCTCCTCACGCTTAGACTACTTTAACTCTCTTTTCACGTGTCTGAGCAGAACCTCCCTGAACCGTCTACAGGTGGTTCAGAATGCCTGTGCTCGGCTTCTGACCAAGTCCTCCAAACACACCCACATCAACCCGCTTCTCCTCCAGCTTCACTGGCTGCCAGTCAACTTCAGGGTTCATTTCAAGATCCTGGTTCTGGTATAGGGCCTTACATGGACAAGCACCATCTTACATTGGTGATCTTCTTAGTCCCTACACCCCCAGCAGGTCCCTGAGGTCCAGTGACCAAAGTCTACTGGTTGTGCAGCCCCAGGCTAGAGGTCAAAGGCGACAGATTATTTGCTGCTGTGGCCCCCAGACTCTGGAACTCTCTCCCCCTGAGCCTGAGATCAGTGGACTCAGTGGTCTCCTTTAAAAAGCAGCTGAAGACTCACCTGTTCAAGCTGGTTTTGGTGTGACCTTCATCACCCTCTCCTTATTCAGCTCTCCCTACCTATTCCACCTTCCTCAGGATCCACTGATTTCCCTCTTTCCGATTCACTCTCTCTTTCTTTACATTTTTTAATCACAATTATAAATTTTTTGCTCATTTTAAATATATTTTTAATTATTTTCTAAATCCTTTTTTTTATATTTTTACATTTTTTGTTTTTGTGAAACTTGAGAGGCGCTATAGAAATGGTCTTCTTCTTCTTCTTCTTCTTCTTCTTCTTCTTCTTCTTCTTCTTCTTCTTCTTCTTCTTCTTCTTCTTCTTCTTCTTCTTCTTCTTCTTCTTCTTCTTCCCAGGGGATGGGTCAAATGCAGAGAACAAATGTCACCAGTGTGCAACGACTAATGGGACATTAACCTCGATTTTAACTTTAGATGGCTCTAAAAACTATTGAATACAAATGCACACCACACTTTTCAGATTTTTATTTTCTTAAAAATTTAAAATCCATGTCAGTTTCATTCTACAATTATGTGCCACTTTGTCTAAAAATTCAGTAATAAAACACATTTAAGATCGGTTGCGAGGAATCCAAATGTGTGAACGTTCTAAATGACACGGCACTATAACACACCATAAACATCTATTCCTGTAGAACTCCAGCAAATCCACCCCTACAATTAACCGCCACAAAACCAGTTTTTTAGTACAAAGATGTCATAGAGGCATAAAACAGGGACTGGAGGGGGGGGGCCTCTGTATTTACCTCTCTAAAGACTTGGACAATATGAAGCCTACACTGTAACAAACAGGGCAACCAAGAGAAAAATAGATCAACTTCTAATTCTTAATCATAGTACATGCATTAATAATGAATAAATGTTTCACATCAAGGATTTCATTTCTATTTCTATTTTTATTTCAGCAAGTAAAATAGAGAAAGTTAATTCTAGTTTAGTTTTATTGAAACAGTAAATAGAGACACACATAGATCCTTCTGTTTGGAAATCGTCAGTAGAGGCCAGAACCAGTTGGTATGGTCTTATTTCCCACTAGATGTTTCGTTAGCCAAATCCAGCAAGTCGTCAAACAGATCTGATATGAAACAGAAGAAAAGACAGTCGATTATAACAAGGAAGCAACAACATAATCACAAGTTTACATCGATCCCTTACAGTAAAGAGAGAAAGTTTTTTGTTTTGGAATGTCTGAAGAGTCTTTTTTCTGATCATGTCATAGAGAAACTTGTAGTTCAGCCATTTACTGAGCCAGAAAATGGTCTGTCAGCATTTAAAGAAAAAACAGAAACAGTGGTCTCTCATTCATCGCAGGAGTTACGTTCTAAACGTAACACGCGATAGACTAAATCGCTTTATTTTTTACAATTATTATACATGTTTGTAGCATACACAGCTACTATTGGGTTCACACACACCAGAATGTCTGTTTCTCAACAGTTTTATTTCCAGCATGTGAGTCGTGTCACACACTCACCCCAGCGTTTCAGGCTCTCGTCATCACTTTGAGACTCACATCCCTTCCTCGTGTACATAAAGTCGTAAAACCCCTTTTAATCACTTTTCTCAGACCAACGTTAACATTTTATTTCTTGTTTAAACACCTGAAAGTCCAAACATTTGTACCTTTGGACACAGAACACAATGCACTGTAAAAATAAATGAAAAATTGCACTAAAATGTATGCAAAACAGCGAGGCCATGAAATATGAACCGTGTTACAGCGAGGGACCACTGTATGAGCACTTCTGTTCCAACAGTATCTAAAGAAGACCTAAAGTCACTGTTGAGACTGTTGAATTAACCAGTCATTGCATATCCAACTGAATGTTAATAATGAACATAAACATAATGAAATAATTGCTGTAAGCTCAACTATGTGTCTTATGCAGCTAAAGGTGAAATGTGTGTGAGCTGAAATAGAGATCTTTTCTCAGGTATGTATGGGAAGCACTAGCCACTGAAAGTGTTCTGGTGTTGCTCTGACATTAGCGTCTTTCTCATGTCAGCGATAGACTTTTGTTGAGAACACCATTTAGAGTTTTGTGTTCTGAGTTAAAATCCCAAGTGGCTTTTCTGTTCAGGCTGGTAATTTCCTCGTCAACCCAAAGCTGCCTGATGAAGATCAGACTGACTGATCGGATGATTTTATGTCATAACAGTTTTTCTTGGTGCTTTTAACTCACCTTGTCTGTTTCCCTCCGATGATCCCTGTGCTGCAGCTTGGTTTCCTCCTCCTGTTCCTCCTGCTGCTGCCTGCTCCTTGTTTGGTCCTCCTCCTATTCCCTCAGATCCTCCCTGTCCCACAGCCCTGTTGCCTCCTCCTTCTCCTCCCCCTGCCTGCTCCTTCTTCTTCCCCTGCTGCGTCTTGTTTTGTCCTCCTATTCCACCTATGACCTTATTCACGGTGTCCTCCACCACCACACCTGTACAGCAGCAGCACAACGAGAGTGTCTTTAGTTCACAAGATGCAACAGCATTAAAGGACAGTGTGGCCGTTTATCTAAACACAAGTATGCTAGTGTGTTCTTGTGTACTTTTCAACTATGTGCTGGACGCATACAGCAGGTAGTCCATTCTATTGAGTACGGGAGGACGAGGACAGCATTTCAAATAGAACCGTACTCCGCTGTGTCATGGCAACAATTGCTGCTTGTTGTCACGGTTAAATAAAAGCGACCTGACATAAAAATGAAAGTTTAGTTTGTCCCTTAAATAACAAAATAACAATTAATACATTTTAGTTGTTTAACGTGTGTTCCACTTTTGATCAAAACTGATAAAATACCAGCATTTCCCATTTTTAAATGAAGAGAAATATTTTATTATCATCAAAACAGATCTATTAGACAACCCCACTTTTATTTTGATAGTGGGTTAGCTAATTAGCAATTTGAGGTATTGTGAAGAGTCTGGAAAAAAAGCATAAACACACAGTATTTTTTACAGGTTACACTATTATTTACAGTAATAGACAGCTTTATAGTTATTTATTTAAACATAATTATCTGTATTTTTGATAAAAAAAAAAACACTGCAGTTATGAGCTTTCTTCTCTGCCATTCATCATTTGGGGTTTGCCACGCAATGCATTATGGGATAGCTCGCTGGCCCAAGTCCGCATGAAGATGTATTGATACATTCTTGATAGTGTAACGGGTTGGGGTTGGGCTTTTATGTTGCAGGGGGTGTTCGTGGCGTTTGGTTCTAGTTCTGGTTCCAGTTTCTGCCGCTCGTTTAAAAGAGAAGAGCAAGCTAGTGCAGCTGTAAGGCGTGGGTTTAGGCCAACATAACACTGGTGTCAGAAATGAGTAGTCTCATCCACATCACACTTGGCTAATGATAATGGATACCATGTTGTCTGTGACGCGGTCGGGGGGATGCCTCGTCTTGCCTGCTGCTTCCGAGCCCTGTCGACAGAGGGACTATGAGGCTCTGGTTGGGGCACCACGCTGCTACACTCTGAGCTGTTTAGCTGACAACACGAACCAGGGGAGCTGTTGAGAGCCTTGGCTTACGTTAATGATGATCTGGACCACTGCACTTAAGCTCACATGCCACCCGCCCATCCTCTGTGAGCAAGCTTGGGACCACTTCCTCCAGGTGCTACCACCAGATGACCAAACCATTTTGCCCACCCAGGTTCCCTCCAGGAGGCCTTGGATTTGGTGTATGAGCGGGAAATGCCGATCACTCGGCCTAGTGGTACCCTGGATGTGAGAGCTACGAGCATTTCTATGGGCCCATCTGTGGAACCTCGGTGAGCTGCAGAACTTACCCAACTGGTCCGGTCCATGGTTGTGAAGGAGGACCACGTACTGCTGATTCTCTGTCCCGTTTACTAGACCAACTAATTGATGCATCGAGATGCGGATATAAACAATTTTCTTCATAGAAGAAGAACACCATAATCAGTTATAGTGGAATGTAGTTTTGTTTTTTAATCGTGACACCTGCGTCACAGCCACATCTGAATGGGACGTGTCCTCCACATTAATCGAGTGAGAAATTTTGGTCCGCCTTTATGTGGTGTTGCAGGGCTGGAGTTGGAGTTTTAACCCGAGGCCGAAACCGAACTGAGTGAACCCAACGGGTTCAGTCAGATTTGGGCTGGTGAATTATGTTAATTGAGCGGGCTGGGTCGCACAGCACGCTCGAAAAGCAAGTGAAACAGATGCACAGAGTCTCTGCTCCTATTACAGAGAGGAGCAGAGGATGCACCTTTAAACATGAGTTATTATTACTCCTCAAAGCACTTAAAAAGTCAGGTTCAGTCGGGTTCAGACCAAGTGTTGGGATGTTGGTAGATCCGGTGTTGGGGTGGGGGTGGGTGACAGCGGCTGCAGCATCTAATCGTCTGTCTCTTTTATTTAGGGACACGGAGAAGTTAACAGGAGAGAGAGAGAGTCAAAGAGAAATAGGAGACAGTAATTCTTGTTGCACTTTATTCTTTTGTTGCATGATTATAAACTGATGTTAAATTCAGTTTAAAGAGAAACTGGGAGGAAACTTTGGTTGATTTTAAGTTACAGGAGATCTTGTTTCCCATCTGCTCCCCCAGAGACACCATGGACATGAGGAGATAAAAATCCCACAGGACAGGTTAGTGGAAAGGTTTGTAGTTAGCTGGTTAGTGAAGGAGATCCATCAGCTGGGTCATTTAATCCTAATCCAGCCCACAGCCTCCTGCTGGTGTTATTATCATCAGCAAGAATAAAGCAAACATCTCAAATATTGGAAGTTTAGGATTTTTTTTTTGTTTTTTTGTTTTATGATTTTTCTGTATTAAAAACATTCCCTCATTCTCCAACATTTCTGAAACAAGACCTTTGGGTTCAAACTAAATAACAAACTAAGCCAAACATTTCATTTAATTTCTTACGCCCTTGAACTGCAGCATAAATATGAGACTCTAAAGCTGCTCATAGGCAGTAAAAGATAATATATGGACCCATTATGGATTTTATAACTTAAGTAAAGAGAAAAATTGGAGGTGTCCTCTAGGTTTTCAGTATGTTTTAAGGTGTTGTTAGCATCTGCAGAGCAGCCGTTTGCTTTAGTGACAAACCCTTTATCATTAAGATGGAGGAGTTCATAAACCATTACATCAGCTCATAATATCCAAAGAACACAAAGCATCCACAAAACAGAATTAACACTAAACTAAAGGAGCAGGACACAAAATTTATACAAGCCGACACTTAAATACCCGACATGCACACTGATTGTTACTGCAGTCGTACTTCAGTTTCATATTTCACAAATACGTTTTGAGCTCTACTCACCTGCTTTATTTCCAATAGTTTTAGCGAGCTTGCCATCGCCCCCGAATCCTTTCAGGAAATTGGACATGTCTCAGATGTAGTGTGCTCAGACAGGAGGAAGTGTGCTGAGGATGTTCAAAGTGTTTTTCAGGAACAGCCTGTGGTCTTATACCTGCAGGTGTGTTGTACCTGAAGGCAACTCCCTGATCAGGAATCAGGTATAGTGAGAATTAACTGGTCGAACTGGTCTGAGCGCTTGGGGTGTGTGACTTTATTTGTGCTTTGTGAGTTTCGTTTGTGTGTGAGTGCTTCTGCTGCTAACGCCTTGAGCATTGACCGCAGGTTTGGATCATCTGAGAAACTGAATAAGATTATTGTTGTCAGTCGAATTGGCTTTCCACCTCCTCTCTCCTAAAACATGCTGCAGTCATAGCAACATCACACACTCTTGTTTTCATTAAGAGGGAGATGTTGGGACCGATCTCGGTAGAAATTTTCAGGCGTTTGTTTGGAACCTGCTAATGCTTGACCTTCACATCAAGGTTCTCATTTATTAACCGAACTTACTCACAGATCTGTGCATTTGTTTTGCCTAGGATTTTATGAATTGTGTGGTATTCACGATTTTGTTTTTGTACTTGTGGGTTTGTGGATGTCATGTGTGGTGAAATGGCAGCCCTCCAGGAAAAAGCAGGAATGGCGTGCGGCCAGGTAGAGTGCAAGCAACTCTGTGCCAAATGTGTTATATTTGCACTCATTTCCCAGCATGAATGCTGGGGCCCCTGGGCATGAAAGCCTGGCCAGGCCCCCCAAAAAATAATTGATTATTGAATAAATGCAACAACAAACTAAGCTTGGCACACTGCCATCTTAAATTATTTGAGCATATGAAGAGGGTGTGTGTGTGTGATGGGGACTGAGTTTTAAAGGTGATCTGAATTGTCTTAATTAAGTAAATATTACATGCTTATGTAGCGTAAGAAAGCCTCAATGTCAGAGGTATGCTGTGCACTTTTCATACCATAACAAACTATCCTGTTTTCACCCCTCTAGCTTCACCATCTGGAGACGCCATCATAACAATCTCTCCCCTGCTCCAATGCCTGCAGAAGCACAAGGTTCCTCACAAGACGTGATTCTTGTGACTTTAATAAAGAATCTTAGTTGGTCTCATAAATGATTTCCTAACTTTGCAAACTGATTACAATCATGTTCTATTTTATCTACAATGAAAGTTTAATCTAAAGTGATTAATAATGTTTTGACTGTTTTACAGTAATGAATGAATCAACATAAATGTATATTCTTGAAATGCCTTGTTTCAGATTTTAAAGACACCAAATGAGTCTACTTGATGATTTAATAATAATTTATTATCAGTTATGTCATATTAATGTCAGTGGGCTGCACAGTGGCGCAGTGGTTAGAGCTGTTGCCTTGTAGCGAGAAGGTCCTGGGTTCGCTTCCCGGCCTGGGATCCTTCTGCATGGAGTTTGATTGTTCTCCCTGTGCATGTTCTCTCCGGGTACTCTCGATAGTCTTTCTCCAAGGCCTCACCAAACTCCTTCCATGCCCGAGATTTTGCCTCGGCAACTGTCACTGTTGCACCCCGCTTGGCTATCCGGTACCTGTCTGCTTCCTCCCACAGACCAGCCACGCCCTGTAGGCCTCCTTCTTCAGCCTGACGGCTCCCTGAACCTCTGGTTTCCACCAGCGGGTACGGGAGTTGCCACATGACTGGCACCGGCCACCTTGCGACCACAGCTAACAGCCCCCTAAACAAGCGCAGAGTGGAACAAGGCCCACTCGGAGTCAATGTCCCCCACTGCTCTCGGGATGTGGTCAAAGCTCTGCCGGAGGTGGGAGTAGAAGACTGTCTTGACAGGTTCTTCTGCCAGGCGTTCCCAACAGACCCTCACTATGCGTTTGGGTCTGCCTGGTCTACGCGGCATCTTCCCCAGCCATCTGATCCAACTCACCACCCGGTGGTGATCAGTTGACAGCTCCGCTCCTCTCTTCACTCAGGTGTCCAAAACATATGGCCGCAGGTCAGATGATACGACTACAAAGTCTATCTTCGACCTGCGCCCTAGGCTGCCCTGGTACCAAGTGTACCGGTGGGCATCCTTATGTTCGAACATGGTGTTCGTTATGGCCAAACTGCGGTTTGCACAGATGTCCAATAACGAAACACCACTCGAGTTCAGATCAGGCGGGCCTTTCCTTCCAATCACACCCCTCCAGGTCAAGCTGTCATTGCCCACGTGACCATTGAAGTCCCCCAGCAGGACAATGGAGTCCCCTGATGGAGCACTATTTAGCACTCGTCCCAGGGACTCCAAAAAGGGTGGGTAATCTGAACTGATATTTGGCCCATAAGCACAAACAACAGTCAGGACCCATTCCCCGACCCGAAGGCGCAGGGAAGCTACCCTCTTGTCCCCCGGGGTAAACCCCAACACACAGGCAGAGAGTCTTTGGGCTAACAAAAAGCCAACCCCAGCCCTCCGCCTCTCACCCGGAGCAACTCCAGCAAAGGAGAGTGTCTAACCCCTCTCAAGGACTTGGGTTCCAGAGCCAATGCTATGTGTCGAGGTGAGTCCGACTATATCTAGCCGGTACCGCTCAACCTCTGCCACAAGCTCCTGCTCCTTCCCCGCCAGCGAGGTGACGTTCCATGTCCCAATAACCAGTTCCTTGACCGGGAATTGGACCGCCAAGGCTCCCGCCTCGGTCTGCCACCCGATCCACATTGCACCGGACCCTTCATGTTCCTCCTGCGGGTGGTGGGTCCACAGTTGGATGAACCATGTATCCGGTTCGGGCTGGGACTGACCGGGCCCCATGGGCGAAAGCCCGGCCACCAGGCGCTTGCTCACGGGCCCCAACCTCTGGCCTGGCTCCAGGGTGGGACTCCGGTAACCCTCCGGGCCGGGTACTCCGACTCCTTGATAGTTCATCCATGAAAGATTATCTGAACCGTTCTTTGTCTCACCCTTCACCTAAGACCAATTTGTTATGGGAGACCCTACCAGGGGCACAAAGTGCCCCAGGCAACATAGCTCCTAGGATCATTAGGGCACTCAAACTCCTCCACCACGATAAGGTGACGGTTCAAGGAGGAGTGGTGAATGTTACAAGGAGGCTAACAAACTTGAGATCTATTTGGGCTAATAAACCTCTTACCTCTACAGCTCTGTCACCATTTTGCTCTTCTGATATTTCTTTCAGTAGACATATGATGGCTGGCAGTCTGTGTCTCACAGTTTTGCAAGCATTATACCTATTTGCCCACCGTGTCTCTCTATTAGTCTTTAGCTGTTTTTACAGGACCATAGCATTTGCTAAACGGGATTTGCCGCGGCTCCTTGGGGAGGATAAAGGTCATTTATAAGATAAGACTGTGGCGGTAACGTGGCGCAATCGTGGCAATTTTATAAAAGATTAGGCGATGGCGGCATGAAGGGGGTATGGGGGCGGTCTCTGCACTGCTGCAGACTTTCGTTTATCTTGGACATAACTGGCTTTTTATTGCGAATGAAGCCGTGATCGTTAAGTTTTTTTTAACAAGCAGCTCCCAGAGGTGTCTGTCCCCATCAGTCCCTGTGCAGTCTCTGGTGATCTGAGCTTCAGCTTTAACAGAGAGGCTCATGGAGCGCTGCTTTGCTCCAGTTTTTCATCTCAGCCGATTTTGTTCAAAAAGCAAACCTTATTGCCTGTGTTCACTTTCATTTTCAACAAATTTGCCAGCCGTAGCTCAGCAATAACTCCCCACGTCATCATGACATCTGCCACTGTTGCGCCAGGGCGCATACGACAGACCATTACCGCAAGATTACTACCAAGCGAGGCGGAATGAATGCCGCAAAAATGTGCACAATGCCATGCTGGCATGGCGCGTTTATAGACATACCATTGCGGTAATATTACGCCGATTTGCCGACATGGTGTGTCTTGTAAAAGAGGCTCGTGTAACTCTCTTGGGGCCCCCTGAAACATCTCTCTCTGTGCCTCGTCATCTTTGGTGCACATATGACCCTGACACAAAAACATACAGTTTCTGCAACAGAGAAAAGAAGCAGTTAGCTTCAGGGATGCATTTCACACTGTCAACTAATACTAGATTTAAACAATACGCATTGCAGTGCACATAAAAGCTAATGGGGCCTCTGATTTTAGGCCGGCACGCACACCTGTTTTTTCTACTCATGACTTAGGCTCCATCATATGCTTACCCTACAAGGTGGTTTTTGTAGTCAAGACCATGTTTCTGCAAAATTGTAACTATTTTCTGTGAAAGTGCTGCAGCATCAAGGTGCTGTGCTGCCCCAAAGGTAAGGAAGGTCTCACATACTGACCCATTGTAATAGTATCTCATTAAAGCACATCTGTTTTTTTTTTTTTTTTTTTTGCTGAGATCTTTAGTTTCATCAACCAAAATGCTGAAAGCCTCACTTTGGGAAACCTCACTCGTTATTTAAGTGCAAACCATTTCAGCTAGACAATCAATTATTTCATTTTGTGTGTCATGCCCGAGATATGTTGCATTTCTTTGACTTGTCATTTTTCTTTTGACTGTGGGATTATGTTGGGCTAGCAGTTCCATACGAGTGATAAATGTTCCTTTATTCTCACCTGATTCTTTATGTGCTCTCTGTGCTGTTCTGTTTAGCTGTGAGGAGCAGGGTTTCTCCAACAACTTTAATGTAGTTTCTATTTTTCTTCACTAATTTATTGTATTACGTATTTACGGAGGCTGAGAGAGAGGACGAGCTTGCAGTGGATTTGCAGTGGGGAGACTGAAGTGCCGGCAGGCATAACAGTATGCAGAGTCTCTACTCTAGAGTATTCCAGCCATTTATGTGTTTTGTACCAGTCTTTAGAGAAACATCGTCTTCTGTCCCCTTGATAAGTACGAGGGAAGGTTTTCAGTTGTGGCTGCTTGGGCTGCTCTGCTCTTGACTGGGAGATAGCTATAATGAAACAAGAGGCAATCAGTTATGCTGATAATGATAATAATAATAATAATAATAATAATAATTATTATTATTATAAAAAATAATAATAATAACATCCCCTCTCGTAATTATAAATTATAGCTGTAATAATAACCTAAATGCATTTCAATTTAGACTAATAAAACTCAACTACTAATAAACATGACTTAAAAAATGTTAAATTATTTTCATGATTTGTAATTTAATAG